GGCTTCATCGGTGGATTGCGTATCAGCACTGCCAGTAGACTGATTATCAGTACTTTCGGTAGACTGGTCAACAGAACTGTTACTGTCGCTATTGTTGTTGTCGGGAGAAACCGCCATACTACCGCCAGGGCTTACAGCGCTGGAGGAGACTGCAGCAGTGGGGCTCAATGTCCTACTTGTAGTAGTAGTAGTAGTAGTAGTGGTAGTGGTGGTGTGGGTCGTTTTTGTAGAATCGTGTCTGACTGAAGAGCTGTTGTGATGCGCAGAGGAGTGTCTGTTGGGCGTTGACGAAGACGTGTGTTTTGCTCCTCCTCCTACTATTACTACGCTCGATTGAGTTGTCGAAGAACTAGTGTGTTTAGAGGTCCAAGTTTTATGGCCTGAAGATCTGTGCGTAGATCTAGATCTAGATTTAGATGTGGATTTAGAGGTCGATTTGGATTTAGTGTGTTTACGAGTGGTGGAACGAGTGGTGGAGCGGGTTTGTTGGTGGTTGGGGCGGACAGTTGTTGTGGCGGTTGGGATGACAGATTTAATGGTGGTCGTGCTGCTGGGGACAAGAAGGGTCGAGGTTGCCTTGGCAGGGATCCAAACTACGGTCGGTGTGCATCTAACAGCAGTGGTGGGGTAAACTGAGTAAATGGTGTGGTTTCTGTAGGATGTCGCGTTGTAAGTTTTTGTACTGCACCATATCTGGGACACTGAATTACCAATGCGAGTAGCCGAAGCACTCGCAGAAGTTATTGTGCCGTGGGCGCTATTTGTGCTACTTTTCGTGCGTTGGAGAGTATGATTATGGGTGTGGGTGTGGGTGTGGGTGTGGTTTTGGTTTTGGTTTTGGTGATAGTCTGATGGATTGAAAGATTAGGATATTGAAAGCAAAAGATAATCAACATATTATTAAGATATAACAAGAATTTGGTTTTCTTACTATGGGACAGTGTCTCATTATATTTGTTCGAAGGAATTTCTATAATTGATAAACAATAGGCAAAAATCAACAACAATAATAATCAATAATCAATAAATATAAAAGCTTAATAGATCATCAAGACTATGTATATAATTGGTAACGTTTTTCAATTACCAGAACCAAGGACAAGCCGAGCAAGGAATACAATGAGAAAGAAGAAGTATTGGCTTGCGAGTTGCATCAAAAACGCATTAAAGAAATAGGAAAAGGAATGGTGTGGTATGGTGGGAAAGAAGATAAGGAACGGGATAGATGGAGAGAGGGTAGAAAGAGTGGAAAAGAGAGAGAGAGAGAGAGAGGAAGGTAAGGAGAGGGGTTGAAAGTGTTGTACACTAGGACGGACAAAAAGGAAGGAGGAGATGAGAGGGCAAGGAGAAAGAAGAAAGGTTCGTTGGCTGAGGCGGCGAAATAACTGTGATTTTTTTTTATTATTATTTTATTTTTTGTAATTGCGCGTTACTTGTGCGACATTTATCGATCTTCTTACTCCCCTTTGTTAAAATGATTTGGCAATTTTTAACCTTCTAATTTTAGTACCTTAATTCTCTGTGACCAGAGCTTTTTCTTTTATATTCTTCTATCGTTTACAGCAAAATAAGAAGCATAAAGTGCTATAAAATGTACCTTTTATACGCCTGGCTTTTTGTTACTTACTGAAAAACCTCAGAAAATAAAATAAAAATATCTATTAAGATTTGAAGTTTCAATGGACATCAAATATTGACAAGAAGGTGTATTAGTTTTTCTTATAAGCTTAAAGCAAGTACAAGGTACAGAGAGGGAGAAAAGGATCTGCGTTGCCTGACTCTATAGCAAAATATCGGCTCTTTTTAGTCCGTTCCAGCAAACTAATAGTAGTGAAGATTTCTCATCATAATTCTTCACTTATAATGGTAAAGTGCGCTAATAGAATACTTTAATAAAAATAAATAAATAGGAAATAAAAGGTACGCTGAGAAAATAAAGAAGTGTAGGACAATGTGGTACGAATAAAAAAAAATAACATTTATATTTCTAATAACCGATCTCAAATCTCTTTCTCTCTTTCTCGTTCCTGTAAAATATCCCACTACTAATCTATATAAATCATTTGTGGTCTATACATCTTTAAGTTACTTCTTGTACCTCAAAATTACGACCAAAATAAAATAATAATATTTTTTTTGTACAAGAAATAACAGGTTTCAATTGATTACACTGATATGGACAGATCAAGGTTAATTAAACTAGCACTACTGTATACATATTTTAGCCAAGAATATTTTATGTGCCATCAATGTAAAATTTATTTATTTTATTATTATTATTATTATTATTTTGACTTATTTTATATTCGGAAAGCTTAATGACTCTCAATTAATAAACTTGTATATATTGCTATTTAAATTGTATGATTTATACTAAACTGCGATGATGGTATTAAGGAAAGAGAAAGAGCAGGTGCAATTCTAAAAAGCAATATATCTATGAACAAAATAATAACCAATTTTTTGGCCTTTTTTTCTCTTCTTCTTCTTCTTCTTCTTCTTCATGATCATCAATTTTTGGATTGAATAAAGTCCTTGGCTGGTAGATATGGTATGGGTTATTGCAGCCAAGTGGCTATTAAACTTCTTTTGATAACAAAAGGAGGTTTAGTATTATTAGTATTTCCAAAGAAACAATAGTATTATATATCATTAATTTATATTTGTATTTATACTTGTCCTTGTATAAATGGCACACAACAGTACTAACAAAATATCAGTCACCATGGCAATAGTGAGTAATACCATGGTTATAAAAATATCGAAATAAAAAGGTATGGTGCATTACCATGACAAAATTCTAATTTTTTTTTTAAAAAAAGGACTGATTAATGTTTAGAGTAAGACAAGAGTTTCTTCTTTTTTCAAGCAGCGTGAAAACTTATTGAAGAAAAAGATCAATTTTTTTGGGGTTAAGAACTTCTTATTCAAGTACATAGTCATTTGATATCTCTTTCTCTCTCTTTATTTCAATAGTACTTTGGTACAAGAACTATACTTGTGATGTGTAAGAATTCACATGATAATACTATGAAATGTGTCTTGTCTACCTCTTCTTCTACATACCCTAACCTTCCAATGTCCTTATCTCGAAATAGATAGCAAAGAGGTAATATAGAAGATTGCTCATTTATCAAAGTGTATCATCTATCTATATATGTGCCTTTATATTACACCTTGCTTGACTTGATGTTTTTTTTTTTAAAAAAAAGAGAGTCTTTTAAGCACATTTTCTAGGTTGTATAAATCATTAATTATCATAAGTAGCGATATAAAATTAAAATTAAATAAAGTTATATATAAAGCCTTTTTGTTAATCCAACAGTGTAATTGAGCACATGCAAAAGCCCTGACCTAAGACCATTATCCCAAAAAATAATAATACCAGTACTTGCTGAGAATTACATAATAATAATAAGCTTCAGATAAGCGTATGAATAAGTCCAGCAACTGATTGTAGTCAAGAAACAGCAAGATACAATAAAACATATCGAATATCCAGAGTCTATTAAGCTCCAAGTTAGTACATATCCAGAGTCTATTAAGCTCCAAGTTAGTACATATCCTAGAGCCGTGATTTTTTTCTTCTTCTTAAAATTGACTGTGATAATATAGAAACTAATCCAAAATAAGTAGTGGGCAAGCGGATCAAAGATATTATTATTCTTTATATAATAATTGGCCCGTACAAATGTCAAATATGCGTTTTGATGGCGTAAAAAAAAAAAAGGATCAAAAGAAGACTGTACGAGTCAAAGAAAAGGTGACCTCGGGATCTTCTCTTATTTAAAACAAGCTTTGGCGTATTTTTCTCGGGACTAACCAAGAAAACACACACACACATACACACACACACAAACAAAGATGCTTTTGATTTTGGGCTTGGGCTTGGAGCAGTTTTTGTTTTGTCTTTTGGTTTCTTGTAAGGAGTTATGAGGATATGAAATACAAGTACATCAAATGTGATTTTTTTGTGTTTTATAGATTATAAGTGGGATGATCTCCATTTGATAAAAACCATAATGATTCCAGAACATTACCATTCTCTTTTTTTATTATTATTATTCTTCTTCTTCTTCAATTAAAGCAAGTCTAGATAGTACCAAGGACCAAATCTAGAAAGATTGAAACTCTAGGAGCTGTAAATTCAACCATAGTCAGAAACTACAGAAATGGTTCATATATATATATAAATGCTCTTAAGCTTTCTTCCTCAGGCAAGATTAATGTTTTATATAGAACCAAAAATTGGTTTGGCTGAGTGTATATATATATATATGTGTGTGTGTGTGCTTTGTGATTATTTGAGGTAATTGAATGTCCCGAAGTGTTTAATTTTGATGTCATGTAATTTCCTTGGGATTTCTGATGAGGTATTATGTGAGGGGATTACATGAGATCATAGACAGTAAATGACGATCGTGATGATGGTGTCCTGTGCAAATCCTTTTTTCTTTCTTCTATTGACTTGTCTGTGCACCGATGATCATTGTTTCAATATATGCTTATGTATATAATGCTGCGTTAATATCATCACGTTTACCTATGTAGTATATAATATATAGATATATATAAATATATTTACTCTAATGATATTATTATTATTATTATGATTTTGGTTTATAAATTTGTATCCTATATTCCTTCTGCTTTTATATGAAATTGTAAATTCTTCCTCAGTTTCCTGTTCGTTATTATTATTTTGTGATAGTTGGTGATAGTTGGTGGGTAGGTTGGGTGGTTGGGTTGGTTTGGTAAGGTAAAAGAAATAAAAACTTGTGGGTTTGCGTGGGTGATCATGTACGTGTAAGAGGTGGGATAGATAGATAGATAGGTAGATAGGTAGATAGATAGATATATATGTAGATATATATATAAAATAAAAGAAGAAGATGAGAAGAAGATGAGAAGAAGGTGAGGAGGAGGAGGGAGGAGTATTTTACGCTTGTTTTTTTTTTGATTTCTTTTTGTTTTCCTTTTTTTTTGTTTTCTTCTTCGCATTAAACAATTCCACAACAAGAGGTTTGTTGTGCAGGTGGCTCATCTACCAATGTCTTTGACGGCTGCATCCTTCTGTCTCGAGGAAGATACTGTTTACGGTCAACAAGAACTCGAGTTATGTGCAAAAAGATATCCTCAATTGTACCTATACAAAGAGAGAGAGAAAACAATAGAAAATAAATTGGTCGACAGTCATAGATATACGTATATTGTTTGATTGTTATTTAGCCAGCCAGCCAGTCAATGAGTTAGTCAGTCTATTTTGACACTTCTTCTTCTTCTATGATATTATATGATATGATATGATATGATACCACCACAACTGCTTTCTTTACACACCATCGTCTTCTTTCGCCGACACTTCATAGAGCGGAGTATCAGGTCCAAGGACACGCGTGACATATTCCCGTGCATCCTCCAGTTGGACCTCTCGACGTGTCGCTGCCATATCCAACTTGTTTGCCACTACCACAATCACCAGTTCTTCATTCATGTTACGCTTGAGTTCTTTGGCCGTTGGAATTGTGATTGTAATTGTTGGTGTGGGCGTGGGCGTGGGCGTGGGTGTAGGTGTAGTTGTAGTATTCATATTGGTTGGTTGATTGGTGGATTGTTCTCTGGTTTGTGAGTACTTTGATCATCGTTGCTTCTTCTTCCTATTACTCAATAGGACCTCTTTTCTCTCTTTCTCTCTCTTCCTTTCTCTTTTTCTCTATTTTTTTACACACCTTCTATCCAAGAGTGCATTTCTCTAAAACTCTCGTGTGACGTGATATCGTAAACCAACAATGCTGCTTGAGCACCTCGATAGTACATAGGAGCCATCGCACGAAAGCGCTCTACAAAATCATACACCCACACACCCACACACATACATACACACAAAAACACAGGAACACGGCAGATAAAGATAGTGGAACAGGCACAGGAACAGGAGCAGGAACAGGCACATACAGACACAGACACACACATATATATATATATATATATATACATACATACATATACACATATATTATATATATATATATATATGTATATATATATATTTATTTTATATATATTTATTTTTTTTAGATTCAGTCAAGCTGTAGACTGAAAATGGCATTTTACCTTGGCCAGCTGTGTCCCAGATCTGAAGCCGCACCTTGCAGTTATCAACTGTCCTGCATAGCCAAGGGTGAGCTTGGAGAACTCTCAAGCCTTTGTTGTATTGGCTTACAGCTTCTTGGTCATAAAAGACGCTCCGATAGTTGAAGTCGAGTTGGGTGAAAACGTCTTGCTGATATACCGCGTTACTAGCGAGGTTTTACCGACACCTACAAACCAAATACATATATAAAGGAACAGCAAACATTTTTTCTGTTTGTTAAAAAACAAAAAAAAAGAAGGGAAATTTGTTGTGTCGGACAGATTCAGTAGAATCATCATTTAAGTGTGATTTACCTTGGCTCCCTAGGATGACCACCTTGGCTTCTAATGTAGATAACATGCGAGATGGAAATGAAGATTGATTAAGTAATAAATAGGTGAAAGAAGAAGAAGAAGAAGAAGCAAAGCAAAGCAAAGCAAAGAAAGAATAAAAAAGAAATATAGAGAGAGAGAGAGAGAGAGAGAGAGAGAGAGAAAGAGAGAAAAGGAAAGGAAACAAAAAAAAAATAAAAAAAAATAAAAAATAAAAATAATATTGAACAAAAAGGAGAAATGAATAAAGTTTTGTGTGTGTGTTGCTTGTGTTGCTTGTGTTGCTTGTGTTGATTCTGTGTGTGTGTGTGTGTATAGTGTATATAGTGTTTATGTGTGTAGTAATAGTTAGTATGCTATTTTACCTTTTTTTTTAGAGTCAAAATAAAAATAACTGTAATTTTGGGTATTAATTTGTGTATATATATATACCTTACTTGCGTCACAGAGAACAAGACGTCTTTAGTTTTAAAGGTGTCAAGGTAATAGAGTCCTTTACTCTCTTATAGCACCTTTGTGGACATGTAACCTTACAGACTGATAACAAAAGGTGGAATCTATTATTATTAATAATATTAATATTGATATTAATATTATTCTATATAGTTGTTTAAACTCAAATAATAATAAAATAGTTTAATAAATTATTAAAGTCATTTATAAGCTGAACGAATAAAATAATAATAAGTTATCTATTAATTATTATTTTATTTTTGGCTAATAGGCCTTGCTCAGCCTTTGAAAATTACAATATTAGAAATTGGAATTACAACACCTCAAGTACATCTGATCTTGTACTCTCTCACACACACACACACTCTCTCTCTCTCTCTCTCCCTCACACACACACACATTGTATATAAAATTTCTCGGCGGTTGATCAAGTTAAAGATTACAAAGATACATATTGTGTAATAAATAAATGGAGAGAAAATAAGGAATAAATAGTTGCGTTTGCGATTAAGCGTAAATACCATTCTAGTTTCCTAAAGAAAAAAAGAAGAAGCTTGTCTAGAGTGTGATTATATAAATATATTTTTTTCTTTTGGATATTTGTACCTGAAGTACAACCTCACCCAAAAAAAAAAGGAAGAGAGCTTGGAATGGTGACACAATGTTTTCCTTTTCATTTTGATTTTTATAGCACCGGAGCAAGAAGAAGAATAAGAAGAAGAAGAAAAAGAAGAAGAAGAAAGATGGGAGTACAAGAATATTAATGAAAACCAAAAAAGCAAAGAAGTATTTCTGGAACTTCAAAGAAGCCAATAGACATTCATTTGATTCCAGGCAGTGTATAGAGTACTTTTTAGCTGTGACAAGTTTAAATCCCAGAATACAACAACAACAAAAAAAGAATTAAATCAAAAAGAGAGCCACAGTGACAATATATCTATATAAACATAGGATCTGAAAAATCCGTAGTATTCCGGATAATTTTCATTTGTTTTTTAACAGGAAAATGAACATGATTTACCATGGATAATCTTTGCGTAAAAACTTTGATGCGGTTGGACTAAGCTATACTAAGCGGTGTAGTAAGTATTATTTACTGTGCGCAAATAGAATTGATAACACCTACATCTCTGTTGGATTGTTACCAATTGGTTATTCAAACCACAAACAGTCTACAATGAGATATTTGCCTCTTGTACTGTCAATGGTCAGGCTATAAATGACATAATATGGGGTACATATACATTACATTACATACACACTTGATCTCAATCATAGGCTCAGAAAACTGTTAATTGTTACAGACTAAATCAAACCATATGCTGTAACAGAAAATTTTTGGTTTTTCCTCTTTGTTGGGCGAGAGGATAAAAGGGAAATTAATTTGGGGTTGGTGATGGAATTGTGCATTTGGAACAATAATCCTGACCAGATCAAATTCAGTGTGAAATGAGGCCTTAATGATAAACCCTCCGGATTGACTTTCTTTCCTTCTGATATTGTGAGTAAGATTATAAGCCAACATTTATTAAGACTGCAATATGAATCAGACCTTTTTATATACATAAAAGCGTGTGTCGTAATCTTGTCATCTATCTCTCATTCTGATTAAAGACTATTAAAATAAAAAGCCAATATGATACATTAATAGGAAAGTCTACTGTCATCCTTTTGACTTGTAACTTTTAAAGAAAAAAAAACTACAGTTGTAATTTGATCGAATTTGTCGTTCCACAATTTGCCCAATATATAAAAAAAATTAATTGAATCTTTTTTTTTCTTTGAATTTTATGCTGTGATTTCTCAAAGTCAATGGGTTTTAAGTAATGGTGAGGATTGTAATCCGTAAAAACAAAACAAAAAAATTGAGCTAAAAAGCTACTGGTCCACTTTCCTTGAAATTATTATTATTATTAGATAAATACTAAATTATCACATCATTGAACTACATTAAATAAATAAATCCTGAGGCTCATTTCTATTGACCACTAAAATAACCAGGCTTTAGAACAATCTATTGAATTCCAACACTAATATATATATAGATATCACTTATAAGACAAGAAACGCTTTAAAAGACGATTCAAAAAACTATAGGATACAGGTTATATCTCAATATTGGCTTGTAAGCTTTGGTTGGTGTGATGATAGTCTTCCAGGCATAGTTGTAGAAAAAAAAACACACACCCACACACGCACAAACTAGTTACAGATCTAGGTTCAAAATGATCGATATTAATATAATTTATATAAAATAAAAATAAAAAATAACGCACATATTGTCAAATAGTCAATTTTATTAAAAAAAAATATTAAACCGCTACATTATAGATAGTACAAAACAAAGTTAAAAAGATTTAGTTATTTTTTTTTAAGAAAAACACACACACCAAAGTGCAATATTATATGTGAAATCCAAATATTTAATTTTCACTTTCCGACCTTTTTTTGCTACTTTTGCTACTTTATTTGTAGCATACAAAAAATAGACAGTTTAGTAAGATTTTTTCTAAAGTAAGCTTCTTAATCCGAAGTGATAAAATTTTGTTTTTTTTATTATACGACATTAGGAGAAACAAAATATTGAAACACCACCGCATTTTTTTTTGTGTACGAGAACTGCTAGTCTCACGAAATTGCTACGCTCCCAGGTGTTTTTGAGCACTAAAAAATTCGCAAAATAACTGAGTTCCAAAGATGCCCTGCAATTTGCCAGAAAGACTTGACAGTTGAAAAGAGATGATATTTGAAATTTGAATTAATTAATTATTTTATTTTATTGTAAGTTTTCAATTAGTTTTTGAGGCTACTATTATCAATTAACTAGTATTTAACCCTCTTATTTCAATCACAGCTCCATTTTAATATTATACCGCATTGCAATTAAGGTACTTGGAATTGACTTTGGGTTAGTATCTCTATTCTAGAAGAAGCAGATACTGTAAGAGTGTTATTTATTAAAAAGCCAAAATAATAGTGCTTATATCTGCTACTTCTAAAATCCATTATAGTTCAAATCTCTGCTGTGAAATGGTCGGTTCGCATTGTATAAGAGCGTCCACAGCAGTTTGTGTAAACTCGCCGAGTATGTAAATTTAGATATAAAATTTAAACTTTTTTTTATCCACAGGGGGGCTGGCTAAATAAATGCTTTAACCAATTTGTTAGACGATTATCTAACTGATATCTAAATTCGGCACTTCACTAAACCATTCGAACAAAAAAAAAGTGGGTCCAGGTTTAGATAAACCACTGTGGACGCTCTTAGAGGAAGGCGGCGTGTAACGACTATTATTTTTCAGATGTGTGTAAAAAAACCGAATTTTTAATAAAGTTTTTATTAGGCTGTATATAACATATACAAACAAAAATTGTGGTGACCTTCATTGAAAAGAAATAATTATTTCGGGTGGGGACTTGAAATATTGGTCGTTATTCCAGCGTCGATCATTAAAAATGAGTGCCCACAGAAATCCTGAAAAATCCTCAACGCTTGATAATAAAAAAATAAAAGCAAAGTAGTAAATACCATATCATTTTTTTACTTCTATTAAATGATTAACTAGCCCTATATTATATATAAGACAAAAATAAATAAATTGATATAGTTATTTTTTATTTATTTAAAAAAAAACAGATATACTCACATATCAAAGTGCAATATTATATGTGAAATCCCATTATTTAATTTTCACTTGCCGACCTTTTTTTGCTACTTTCTTTGTAGCACATAAAAAATAGACAGTTTAGTAACATTTTTTCTAAAGTAAGCTTCTTATTCCGAAGTGAGAAAATCTTGCTTTTTTTATTATACGACATTAGGAGAAACAAAATATTGAAACACCACCGCATTTTTTTTTGTGTACGAGAACTGCTAGCCTCACGAAATTGCTACGCTCCCAGGTGTTTTTAAATTACTAAAAACAGCTTAGACAGTTTGAGTTCCAAAAATGCCCTGCAATCTGCCAGAAAAACTTGACATTTGAAATTCAAATTAATTATGTGGTATACACACCACAATTGAGTGAAGAACAGACCCCACAACCAAACACTGGTTCCTTCTTGCTAATGAACCTGGCAAGTTAACAATCTCCGGAACTGTTACACACCAGGCACACGTACACTACACACTCATACAGTGTAAACCAACCATTACACAACAGGGATTTGAATTACAGGGATTTGAATAGTAGCAGATATAAACAATATTATTTTGTCTCTTTAATAAATAACACTCTCACAGTATCTACTTTTCCCATTATTGAGATACTAACCCATAAACAATCCCGAATACCTCAAATTATTTTATTTTATTTTATTTTATTTTTATTATTACTTTATAACAAGTAATTGACCCTCTTATTCCAATTATAATTTTATTTAAATATTATACTGCATTGCAATTAAGGTATTTGTGATTGATTTTGGATTAGTATATCAATATTAGAAAAAGTAGATACTGTGAGAGTGTTATTTCTTAAAGAAGGTTAAAATAATAGTGCTTATATCTGTTACTATTAAGATCCCTGTTATTCAAATCCCTGTTATGTAATGGTTGATTTACACTGTATGAGTGTGTAATGTACGTGTGTCTGGCGCGTAACAGTTCCGGAGATTGTTAACTTGCCAGGTTCATTAGCAAGAAGGAACCAGTGTTTGGTTGTGGGGTCTGTTCTTCACTCAATTGTGGTGTGTATACCACATTAAATGCTTGGCTGTTGGATGTAGCGGTAGTTTAAGCACCATCTAATAATAACCAATGTTTTTTTTAAAAAAACTATTGAGTACCATTAATGCCTTTTGGCTTATATGTTTTCTCTCATATACGTCAAAATTCATATGTACAATACGATTAATTAGAGTACCCATAAATATAGTGCCCCTTTATAAATTCCCTACAATTAAGTTAGACTTTTATAATTTTGTACTGATAGCTACTTCTACATATATTTATTATGCTTTGTTTTTGACTTTGCTTTTATATAAACTTCGTCGCCAATTGTACATAAAGTACAAAACTTTGTAAATACTCATTCTGCACTTTTCTTTTACCTAATAAAGTCCAAAGGCTCATTGCAAAAAGCTGTTTGCATCTGGGCGCTATTTTTAAAATTGTTTTAAAAACTTCAAACACAGAATTATAGTTCAGCTACCAGAGAAGAAGATAGAAAAAAAAACCGGCATGGGACCCCTTCTTCCCTTAAGATTTCTTTAGCTAGATATACTATCCGGGCCTCTGATCCGGATGATTCAATTTTCTTAGTTATATGGAAAAGTGCTTTTACAGAGTATTTAATCGTAATAAGTGAAAGGCTAGTGCCTTGCTACCACCTCTAGAGGTAGACTATAAATCAATGTTCTGGGGTAAATTTACTACTTCTTACTATAAGCCATTATATATTATCAATTGTTTTAAACAAAACAAGAGTACAGGTTGTATATAGCGAGCTATTTTTAACAGAGTAATTTTTTTAGCTTAATAATCTCAATTAAAATATTGAGGTGTTTTGTATATATGATGACTATAGCTTGTAGTATTAAATGGAAAACAAAATGTGGTTTTCTTTTTACTTTTTGCTGATATATATAACCATATAAAAGTCCTGATATATGAAGTATAAATAGTTTTTCTGGTCATGCTTTACCCAAGGCAAGACTATATTAGTGTCCCCTGAGTACTTTGGTTAATTCATGTGCTTTTAATGTGTATATGTATTCCAATGCTTAGAGCATCCATAGCGGTGTGCGTGAATAAAATATTTCAATTAAACAAAAAAAAAGGTTTAAATTATATATTTTAATTCAACCGCATAGGCTTGGTTATATCATCATCCACCTAAAGATGTCAAAGACTAAGCTTAAACCAGACGTTTATTTCTTAATAACAATATCACAAACAATGAGTTCCTAGCAAAGCCTTATTGATCTTAACAGAAATTTGAGTATAGAGGAATATGAGTAATTGTTCGAAAATAAAGATTCAGATATCGAAGAATTCGAATTATTATTTAGTGACGATGAAGGAGGCAAAAATCAATTGACAGTCATCGTTGTAGCGATTTCACAGAATTAGAATATCCTTGTGCCCGAAACCCGAAACCATGTAAACAGAGGACAAATTGAAGCTTGCGAGAGGTTCTATGCACTGTTTTGTTGCTGGTTTTGTTTATTATAAAAATATCTTTCGAATAAGCTTTAGAATAAGATATGACTTCTTCTTTTGTACCTGTAAAAAAGTCATGAACCATAGCTCTTATCTTTTGCACAAAAACATGCTACATGGTCACCTGAGTATTCAACCTTTCAAAAGCTACTTCCGCGCTCCGCATGCTCTTACGGATGTTAGCAGCTGTGGAAACAAGTACAGGAGGAGAGACATTGATAGTAGAGAATAATAAAACATTGCTACTCATTTTAGAGAAAATATTATAGTAGAAAGAAAAATTCTTAAAATCTATATATGTCAGAGCCTGGCTTTAATGTATATTATTTGAATGTATTAATGAAATAATAAATTGAATTATCCGTTAAATACTTTTAGATAAATATATAATATAGATGTTCGTTTAGACAAGCCAATGGAGATGGAAAAATTTAAGTTCTCTATATAAATTTGCACATCTACTAAACTTACTTACACCGCTGTGGATACTCTTAGTCATAATCTAAAGAAACAATGTGAGCTCTTTAGTGCCAGTAGCAAGAATAAAGCAAAAGCCCTTTAATAGCTGAGAATTTCTGGACCGAGAACTTTATATATTTATTATATATTTTGTTGTTCATGCGCAGTATTGTTTTTATTCTATTTTTAAAAAAGTTCTCTCTACACACACAATCAGATATTTGCAAAGTAAGCCGTAGTGATTCGCGGTATACACATATATATTAATCGATAAACCACATAGAATGCAGAGGAATTGAATTTCGGATACCTACATAGGTTTGCCTTATTATCGGATAGAGTACCTTCCGGGCCTTCTTGGAGCATAGATAACCACTTACACCATTTTATAGACCAAACGATTATTTTGATTTGGCCAGTATATTGTAATAGATCACTCAATATTACAATAACTTATATACTTTATAAGTCTACTGCTGATATAATGTTGTGACCAAACAGCTGTCTATCTTGCTTTAACTTAATACAAGTTAACAATTGGACAGGCTAAACAAGTCAGTAAAGTAAAGCTAGCTCCTGGAATGAGACTTTCTAAAACTGACGTATAGCAAAAAAGAAAAAACTCCCATTCGTCGGGTAATTCAAATAAAGATCTGTAGCGCATTTGGTAGTAACATTTCAGGATAAAAAACGTGTGTATCATTGGAAGCCTATTTCTATCCAAATTCTCTTGCATACATTGCACTGATTTTGTATATAAAGATGAATTTTATTGAGAAGACTTTAATTTGATAGTTTCATTATTTTCATCTAAATCACTCCAAATCACTCCAAATTACTCATACTATTATACAACAAACAAATATGATCGAATACCTGAAAGAACTGGTTGACAGAATGAATAGTAAAACACTTGCAAATTTAAAGAGGCTTGTCTTTTCAAAAAAAGGAGGTATTGGAATCATTATGGCCATAATTCTCAGCTCTGTCTACAACTACCACAAATGGTCCAGTCGTACAGTAAGAACAAACTTGCCAAAGTAAATTCGATTTGACCTTTTTCTTTTTCTTCTTGTAGATCAGTAATGGGTGCCCCCGTGTTCCACATACACTACCATTTTTTGGATTGACAAAGGTATATCGTAAAGACTCAAAGGCATTTTGTGAGGAATGGCATGCAAAGTTAGGACCTGTGTTTCGCGCCCATTTGTTTGGAAAGGTATGATTTAATTGATACTATGCCAAGCTGCTTTAACAGCTCTATTAACTTATGAATACAGGAAGTAACTGTAGTATCAGGCCATTATGTTCGGGAGGTCTTTCTTAATAAGCACTTTGACTTTATCAAGGGTATTGTAAAAGTAAGCTCGATTTAAAATTATAGATGGTGATCTAACATGAACATAGGTTTTTGACACCAGATTATTGACAGACAATGGATCTAGAGAAGATTTTCCCCCAGAAGACTTGCGTGAGATTATTACAAAATACTTGACACCAAAACTTAACATTTACACCAGACGACTAATAAAGCAGGTAATAGCAAAAAAAAACTAGAAAATTCAAGTTATACCATCAAATCCATTTATGCAATACATACAACGACTATGATAGCTGAAACAAGATGTTGAGAATATCCTTGGTAATAAAGGTTGGGACTATTATAAAAACCTCGTTAGAAAATGATTGATATAAACATTTCCCCATCTTTCAAAAGGTTTAATAGAATTTGATAATTTGTATCCATTTGTCCAACATTTGATTGTCAATGCAAGCGCCTCTATTTTTTTGGGAGAAGAAAATAGCCAAAACAAACTTCTCATTGACTCAATAAAGAATATGGTCCGCCTTGTTGGCAGCGAAGTTAAACAAAATCCGTGGATTGAACCTTTCTCACCGATAAAAAAAATTCGGATGTGGTGAGTGAAAAATAAAAGCTTTGTCTATATATTTGGGAATGCAATCTAAAATATTTGGTTCAAAAAATAAGGGTTATAGGAAAAACCTCTCCTGTCATAAGAAGTTACAAAGAGCAGCTAATAAATGCTATAAAACCAGTAGTCGAATATAGACTATCGGAAGCAAGAAGAAATCCAGACTGGAAGAAACCAGTAAGTTTCTCTCTCTCTAGTCTAGAATAATTTCTTAACACACACACACGATATAATTTTTAGACCGATGTGCTTCAAGATCTTTTGGAAAATTCAAAGCCACCTGCTCATATGGATCTTATGGATTACCTTGTTTGCATCATTACTATACTCATATTTGTAGCTTTACATTCTACCATTGAGAATACTACAGTACTGCTTTATCGCATTTTAGAAAATCCTGAAATTATGGACGAACTAGACTTAGAACAGCGAGAGGTTATTGAACAAGAAGGACTAGATACGAACTGTGGGTCAGAATTATTTACACGAGACATCCTCAAGAAATTCACCAAGCTTGACAGTGTATGCCGTGAAACCTTCCGAATGAAAAATCAATATATTACATTACCACATGAGTATGATGGAAAGGTACCACTTACATTGAGTAATGGTGCGGTTATAAATCCGGGTATGATCCTCCGTTTATCAAAAACATATGCCTAGAAAATTAATTTGTATGATTTTTAGGTGACGATGTATTGATTGATGTGTGGACAAATCACCGGTATAAAAAAGAAACCACGAGTGTGAAGGATGCTGATGAATTCAGACCCTTTCGCTTCGTTAACCAAAACAAGCAGTCGACCAAAGTTGGAGAAGATTATTTGTTCTTTGGCATGGGAAGACATGCTTGTCCAGGACGTTGGTTTGCTATGCAAGAGATACAGGCCATTACGGCTATACTAGTTCGTGAGTGCAAGTTTATTCCCAAAGGCCCCATTATCTTTCCTACAGCGGAAAGATCTCCTATACCTACTGGAAGATGTATAATTCAAAGAAAGTAGACTAGGTGTATATTTTATGCTTATTACACTTGTAGTGATATATTTTCTCCTCTATTACTTTTGGATATATACATATGTGCCATTATTTTGAGCCATATGTTTGAATAATTTGAGTAGCAAATTAATAAGCTATTTTATTTTAATCCAAGTAGACTACCTTCGATTTTCATAGCTTGTTATCAATAGACTGTATAAAGATTATAATATTTACATATATGGTATGGACACACTGAAAAGTTTTCTTTTTTAAAAAAAAAAACCTCCAAAAAAAGCTTAAAGTATGTTTAATCGATCAGATCAATGTATGACTGTCCTCACCTTTTGTTTTAAAGAAAAGAGTTCAGAATTAATTAAGTGCGTATTAGATAATATCAAGTGCTCATAGTTCCATATCTTCCATCATGTAGATATCTTTTATAGAGAGTTTTACTAGGCCATTTATCTTACGGCACAGCTCTTCCGTCAAAAACATGCTTTCTTCTCAATCTAAATGGCAATGGAAGAATACTATCCAGTCAAAGTCGTTTGAATATATATATTTTGAACATTTTTGAACAGGTAGTCTGTCCACACTACCTGATTTATTGGTAAGCCTCTGCATTTCTTTTATCCAACTTAAAATGCTATGGTGCTATCGGACTTAAGTATCTATGTATAATGGTATTTTTCAAAAGATATCAACTTTTGCAAAAATGGATTTAATAAAAAATTCTTGAACAGAACTATTAAGCATGCTATTCTCTATAATTCTATTGAAGCGTTTTGTATTAAATTCATTTTTGCAAAAGTTGATACCCTTCAAAGTTTGGGTGTTTTGATAGATTTATTTGCGGAGTTTAACTTTTTTCAGAAGTTGAAACATCTTGATGGCTCCCATAGGCGGTACATGAAAATATTTATCCTAAAACGGAAAGTCATGTGATCAAGAAAGTGGCCAAGCTTTATGAGCACACATTTTTCCCTACATTTAGCGGAGATTTAATAATTATTACATATAAAAAATTTTCAAAGAAATTGAAACAAATGCAAAAACATAGATACTTAAGTCGGATAGCACCATAACACTTTAAATGTCTACCAAGTTTCTACTTTTGTATTTTAGTGTCCTCAAATACTACGAAATATTTTTGGCTGATGTTCAAATTTGGATATATAGGTAGAATCCGGTTAAATACCCCTAATATATATATATATATTGTTCGATTGATGTAATAATAGGAAGAATAAAAGGTTATTTAATAGTAACAAAGCCAAAGTAAAATAAAGGGTTTATGGTAGGTTTTCCAACAAGATTTCAGTACCATCCGATGTCAAGGTACCATCGCTACGTCTGTTCCGTTGTGCGACTCTCCAGGAGTGATCTCCATGGCGTAGACCAGCCTTCAACTCACGCAAGACATTCTCGAATTCGCCTTCATCGTTACCACCTCCATCAGCACTGAGTGTCTGGCAAGAGTTACCAGAACTAGCCGAATGTACAGGTGTATCCACAATGTGGCGTTTCTATAAGATAATAAAAGGCAGGGTAAGGTAGAAACTTAGTAACAATACTAATATATATATATATGTACGATTATCCAAAGTATATTCACCTTTATCATCTCTTGTTGTCGCTGCTTTCTAGCAGCTCTTTCGTGTGCCTCGTGTATCTCTTGTTGGGCCTTCTAAAGAACAAAGAATTACACGCACACATATATACGTACAAAATGTTAGTCCTACTGTAATATAGAGCACTTATTGTATAAAAAAAAGCCTTTTTCTAACTCCTTACTGCAAATGAAGTTGAGAATGAGTCGATAATCGCAAAAAACTCTTCTGATTTTGTGGTAGCAGGATCCTCGCCATAATATACAATCAAATCCCTCAGTCTGTCCTCAGTATCTCGTGTCATGGCCTTGAGATTATTTGTGATAGGCCCAGCTTCAATCAAAAATTCCTAAAAAATAATAGTAAAATGAAATAAAATAAATAGATAAATAAATTATAATTATAATTAAGCTTATTCTCAGTGAATATTATATATATATATCATAATACTCAAAGTAAAGAAAGAAAGAAGCCTAATACTACTACTACTGGTATTGTTACTTACTTCCATGGCTTCTGCGAATCGATCGATCTGAAGCACAGACGTACGTTTGCGTCGATGAGCACATATTTCCTCCTTTATCTGGTTAATACTTGCACTAAGAGTATTCACAGAGGCAAAAAGAGTAGGTGGAGACACTAGATAATTCAATAATTATCATAATAGATGAGCAAAATATATTCTCGTCATAATTCGATTATATTAATATATATGTATATTACTGTACATTTGGCAGCTGCTTCCAAGTGACAAATATCTTCTTTAAAGTTCACGACACTGTCGTCAGACTTGGCCAAAAAGTATACCAGGTAATGTAATAAGGTTGGCATATTGCTCACACCCTCACCCTCTGCACGAGTATCTCTCATCTAATATATGTACATACATTAGCTGATATTGATATTGGTGATGAAGTTTCTTTTTGGTTTGAGAGCCCATTAATGTTTCCCAATACATATATCTTTGTACACTTTATAATAATAATAAACCATTACCTTTAAAAGTGCATCTAAATGGAATCCATAAGCATTACCACGAATAGTTTGAGAATTTAGATGATTGCCAATAGCTAATACTGTCTATATATATATTTGTATATATGTATATGTGTGTAAGTATGTGTGTGGATGCCTTATTTTAACATTTGCGACTTGAAACAAACATACAAAGAGTGCTCATTGTTTTTGTACATATATATTTCAAGTTTTTCGTTCCTACTCCTTCTTCTCCCCCTTCTCCTTTTACCTTTAACACTCGCTTGAATCGTATGCTGTCCCTTAACTCTGAGATTGCATATTGAAGTGTATCAAGACGAGGAATGATTTCCTCCAACTCATGCTTGAACCGACGTCTGAAAATCATGCAACTAACACGGTCTGCCAATCGAGGTATATACATAATCTTTATTGTCCCCCCAAAAAATATTTTTGTGCAAGTAAATAATGATCAGTAAGTGAGTGAGTAACTAGGTTAATTAATTTGGAATGCTCTACAGAAAAATGATCAAACAAGACTTACCGAGCGGAAGTAACGCTCTGCATTACCAAGCATCTCTACATCTCCTTCGTATTCTTTGATAGTTTCAATCTATAAATTATTTCACATAACCATAATAATAATAATAGCAACAACAGAGAAAAATGTTAGTTCCAAGATTTACAAGCTATGAATTTTAAATAAGTATACCTCTTCTTTTGTAGGGATATACTGCCGAATAGCCATAAGATTGTCTACTGATAGTCTGTGATCATCAATATTCCAAATGGCATCGCGAATATCAGGATAACTCCACTTGATTCGAGCCAACATAATAGCTAAATAAGAGACAAAGGATCATTATCCCAATTACATTTTTTTTAAAAAATAATAATTAGAAACTCATAGCTCATAACTCATTTTCTTTTGTTTTCTTACCAATATTGTTTGCTCGATTAAACTCAAGAAGAGTAACACCGCCTGTCTTGCGAACCTTTGCTTCTACAGCTGGGGTAGCACTTACTAATATACATATATATATATATATATATATATATATATATAATTTGTGTATGAGTATAAGTTGATTTATTTAATTAATACTGTTTTCTATTTTATAGACCCAAGGCTTTGTATCTTCTTTTTTTTTGGAGAATTGTTTCTTACACTTTGTACCACCTTGAGACTTCTTGAACAAACGTTCGATTTCGACTGTATCCAGTGCAAAGCATGGTCTCTTTGGTTGGGGTGTACAGACACCTTGTATTGCTTTCGCATTACGGCGATAATTAGCTCCAAAAGGACCAGTGTCGTCAGAGTCGGCTTCACTGCTGCTGCTAATACTGCTGCTGCTACTACTACTAGTCAAAGGTGAGACCAAACCTGTATCTTCAAACTCTTCAAATTCAGGAGATAGGATCTCTTTCCAAACTGTGTTTTGAATACGTTCTGGTGTCAGCTTGGACCAAAATAGTTGCTATAGAATAGCAACAATAAAAAAGAAGAAGAATAAATATAAATACATATACAATTATTATTATTATCATTAAATAATGAGAATTGCGCATTCTTTTATTTAATAAAAAATGTAACAAAGCAAAAGCGAAAGCAATTTTCTTTAAAGAATAAAATAAAAAATAAATAAGGCAATGTAAGACTAACCTTCATGGTAATGCTTGCTCCAGGCTTTTGTTGCATATATTGCTGATTTTCCAAATTAAGCAACGATGAATTATATGCACACTCATTTCCTGCTACTGATCTGAATAAATAGGACGTGTCGGATGGTGAAGGTGGCGAAGAATCTGAAGAATCAGTAGGAGATGTTGCTGTTGTTCCTTCGTGAAGAGATTTGAGAGTGGGGAAGCACAAGTTCAGTGCGAGAGGGTGGAGGTATTTTGATGATCTATTGGATCCACTGCGTTTGCGAGTCGTGGACAGCCTTTTGTCAACTGCTGTAGGGAACGGCATTGAAGTAAAAGGGAACGACATTGGCGGCGGCGGTGGTGGTGGTGGTGGTGGAGGAGGTGGTGGAGGAGGCGGCGGTGGGGGAGGCGGAGACGGTGGTGTGGGTGATGTGTAAGGTGTTGATACTAATGCTACTGGTTTTACTGCTACCGTTGGTACTGCTGCTACTGCGGCCGCTGAGGAAGAGGAAGAGGAAGAAGATGATGATGATGAATAACTGTCTACTCTTGGCTTGGTTGTTACTTCAGGATCAGCTGTATTTTTAAAAGTGATGCTTGTAGTAGACCTGACACTATCAGTATTCTCTATTACAGATTGCGCGGTTTCACAGCTGTTGTACGGTGCGCTTGACGACTGTGAATTTTCCAGGTCTTGGATCATACAGTCCAGGTCAGTGACCATCTTTCTCTTCATCGGTGTTGGCGTTGGCATTGGCGTTGAGGCTGGTATTGTCGTTGTAGCTGGTGTCGGTGTTGGGTTTGTTTTTGCGTTATTGAGGTGTTTTTGCTGAATAGACATAATTGTATCGTCTCTGTATTTAATTTCTGCGTTGGCTTTGGATACTTTCATCAGCAATTCGTTCTTTTCTCGACGAATTTTTGTTGCGGTATCTTCACTCTTTTGGAGGGCATCCTTGAGCTCCTCAACCATGTTCCTCAACCCTTCGACATCCTCAAAGTTATTGTTAACCTGTAGACTGGTACAATCCAAGGAATTTCGATTGCGTGTAGCTAGCGCAGGTTCTTCTTCTTGCTTCAGCTTCTCAGGCTCAGCCGTAATTTTTCCTGCAATAGGCTGAACATCCAGGATAAACTGTTGAAGGCCTTTACGCAAATCATCTAGTACATTAACATATGCATATATTTAAAGTGTCAGTTGAAATTCCTTTCTCTTTCTATATTTTCTCTTTGTGAATGTATATGTATATGTGTTTGTGAGTTTAACGAATATACCATTTGATGCTATGGACTGTAGGCTCTTTGAAAATACACTCACAATACCCCAGATATCATGAACAAATCTTAATAATAATAATAATAATAATAATTAAGCAACAAATAGCCAAAATGTATTAGTACAAACTTGCAGACCCTCTAATTAACTTATAAATTTAAAAAAAAAATGTAAACCAAAGCACACACACACATTTATATATACCTCTTTTCACCGTTTGAATTACTACCCAGTTGCAAGAGACTGTAAATACTATCAACGACTAAATAATAAATCTCACTATCACTCGAAAAGTGGGTCAGAGCTTTGAGGATCATCTTGTCAGGTTGTCTACAGAACGTCCACAAAAAAAGAGGGTAAGAGGTAAAGCTAATGGGTAAATGACTTTTTTTTTGGAACATTTTAAAGAAGAGTAAAATGAAATGAAAGAGAAAGAAAGAAGCAAGAATAATTAGAGGGTACATTGTTATCACTTACATCTTCCAGACACTTTGTCGTCTTGTGTTTTCAGCCTCAAAAATCAGAGATTGATCCATACGTTGCTTGGTGTGAACTGCTTGAACAACTGATCGAATAGATTCAGGCATATTTTTGTCATGTAATATCTTTATGTTTTTTGTTGTTGGTAATATTCGATAATATACAAAATAGTAATAATCGTGTTAGTTGAATACATCCTCCTTTCATTCACTCGTTATTTTGTTCTTCCTTTCATTAATTCATTAATTAATTCATTTAATTGATTATTTCTTGTAAATAATAATAATAATCAATATAAAGAAAGAAATGCTAAGAAAGAATGTTTTGCTTGATTTACTTTTAGATAATCATCAAACCCTCGTCGTCCAAGCTCTGCTCGAAGTGACCGGCGGGTATCGACTTCAGTTGGAGTATTGATAATTTTGTCGACCAAGCCAATCACGGCTCCTCTTGCTTCCCACAACAGTCCGTCCTCAGAGCTGTTTGCAGGTGAATAAAGTGCAAAGACGCCTTCTGTATCTTTTAGACTCAAAATCAAACGCTCAAAACGGTACTGCTCACCGCGGATTTCTGACAAAAGGGTGAGTACAGTTGAATGTCCCTGCGGAGAAAGCAAGCAGAGAGATGCAAGGAATTGCAGGAGTTCGATGGCCGTGCGCGTTAAAGTTTCACAAAGGAAAAATGATGATCCGCCACTTCCAGCTGTATTCTCTTCTGCAGTTCCGATTGTCGCTCCATTCAATGGAATTGCTGTAGAAGTAGAAGGTGAAGGTTGAGCATGGGATGAAAGCGAGCCATGAGATCCCGAAGTTCGAACTGTAAAACGTGAAGGATTTGGAATCGGGCCTTGGGACGTATTAGAGATCAGTGCAAAGAGAATGCTGACAAGGTGTTGTAGAGTCGGTGGACGAGATAAAATTTGCTGTAGACCAGGCTATTGATAATAAATAATAAAGTAATATTCAAGTTAAGTAACGCCAACAGTAGAGGTGTAACTATATATATATAAAGAAACTCTTGTTATTAATACTTACATCAGTGGTAATTAAGACCTGAAAACAGCGAATACATTCCAAGAGGCATGTTTCATCCCCTTCCCATGAAAAGTTTCGTTTCCTACAGAACCAACAGTTTTTTTGCATATTTTCTTTAAAACTAAACCCTAAAAACAAACAAATGTCAAATATTGATAATTACTTCTTCTTCTTGGCTTCCAAACGTTCCAAGACACTTTCAAGAGCTGCCAAACCATCGTGACGACGGGACAGAAACTCGTTTATCCAGGCAATGTTTCCTGCCGACAATGTTCTTTCCAGAAGGACCAGGTGATGAACAAGTGTTTCAAAAGGGGTACTTCTACTCCTCAGCAATTCAACATAGTAATAAGGACTCGTGTGATCTCTGTTGCGTTTCGTGGTGTCTTCAGGGGTCATGCCTGATGCCACCAGGGAAGAGAGATGGTGGCCATCCTTACGAGACAGACTTTGGTAGAGTCGCATCGATTCACTGGATTTCGGAACAACGGTCTGAATAGACATCGGTCTTATGGCCTTGTTGTCCAAGAGAAGCCAAGCCGAAACATCTTCGTCCTCTTCCTCTTGTTGCTGCTGAGCAAGCGCATCAAACTCGAGGATCATTGACCCGACCTTTGATTGATAATTAGATGCAGGAACGTTTTGACGGCGGTATTTGTACATGGCTGCTCTTGCATCGATATTGGATCCACGTTTTGCTAGTGCTCCTATTCCTCCTATTCCTCCTCCTTGCGTTGCTGCTGTTGCTGCTGTTGCTGCTGTTGCTGCTGTTGCTACTGATGCTGACGAGGTAGTTGTTGAATTAGCTGCATTTGCTGCTGCTGTTGCTGCTGCTGCTATTATTGTAGCGCGCGGAAGAGGCGTTACTGGACTGGTGGGAATAATCGGTGAAGGAATTGAGGTGGGTCGTGGACTAGGCGACTTTGGCCCAGGTGATTTCGGTCCAGGCGATTTTGGACTAGGCGTACGGACTGTAGGGGTGCGTAGAGGCTCAGGCTCTACGGTCTCTATCGTGTTACAGCTCAAGAGCGACGACTGAGACGCTTGTGATACAAGGGATGTCTGGGTAGTATTGCGCGGAAGAGGACGAGAAAAGAGAAGGCGTGATGTCTCACTGCGTTTGATGGCTGTCTTTTGTCGTAAGCGAGTATTTGAGAAAAGAGAGGACGTAGAGCTCGATGCTGTGATAGTTGACTTTTTGGCGGGTGTGCCTATTGAAGTCTGTGAATTAGGCTTTGAGTCTGTGGGGTTGGCTGCCGTCTTCTTGGTGTCTTTAATGCACTTATTCTGCTGCAGGAGGTACAATTTTCGTTCGCGAGGTAGTTGCCGAAGCTTGTCTCGATGACTATCTTTCATTTCAAGCTCATCCTGTATAAGAATAATAAAGGAAAAGAAATGAATATAAGAAGGATTATAATAATTATTCAAAATTGGATTTTAAAGAGACAATAAGGTTATTTTCAAAGGATTCCAGTAAAAGTTTTAATATACACTCTTTTTATTTTCTACTTTCTACTTTCTACTTTCTGCTTTCTATATTTGTTTTTCCTTGTTTCATTTAATTTGTTTGTGAACAACTTGCCAACAATGTTTCAAAAGTATTCAAGAGCTCAGACGGGCTTTCGGGGCTAGTGGCAGATTGAGGGCTGGCAACCTTGGGAGCCTCTACTGGATCTGGCGTAATATTCTGATCTTCGGTTACAGTAACAGTTGGAGCTCCTCCACCTAGCCAGACTGGCAAGAGGTTCTTTCCAAATCTAGACGCACTAGCCATCCTTATTGGAGGTGGCGGTGGCGGTGGTTGTAGATGTATATTTAGATTTGGATGTGGATGCAACTGTGGTTGGGACTGTGGCTGAGACTGGGTTTGTGGTTGAGAACGTTCATTGAATGACTCGATAGATCTGGCCGACTTAATCCTAGGTTGCTGGGCTTTTGGCAAAGACTTTTTCATGATAGGTTTTGGGGGAGGTTTTGGCTTGCCTGCAAGAGACTCGTGTGAAGAAGACTGTAGGATAGTAACAGGAGGAATGAGATCTTTAGTTGGTGAAGAAAGAGATTTGCGAATAGAAAGGACAGAAGGTTGCTGCGAATTTTTCCCGGAGGCGACGACTACGGTTGGTGTTGGTCTTGAGGGTGGTAGCTGTAACTGTGATGACTGTTGTAGTTGTAGTTGTAGTTGTAGCTGTTGTGGTTGTAGGGGTGCAGCTGTATTTTGGGTGCGACGGTTGCCCATGGAGATAAAATTTGGGGTTTCAAATATATGATATATATATCAATATATCAATTTTAATGAAACTTGGGCTAATTAAAACAATGAAAAAAAGGGGGGAATTACTTGCGGCCAGTATGATTCGAATAGAAGATAATAATAAATAATAATTAATAAAGGAAAGAATTGTAATATTTAAAGAAAGAAAAAGGAAAGAAAAGGAAAGAAAGAAAGAAAGAAAAGGATGATATAGAAGAGATAGAGATATATTAGATGGTTAAAGAAAGGAGTGGTTACGAAAGCAAGGGTAAGAAACAGAGAATACGAATTGAATTGAATTCAATTCAATTCAATTCAATAAAATGGATACCTTCAAGGAGACTTATTTATTTTTCTTATTTGGAAAATAGACCCCCTTGAAGATGTCTTCTTTAACGTGATGAACACAACCTGGAAAGTCCTGCTCCTATCTTATACAAAGCCAGTTTATAGCCATGGTTGATTTTTATGAAAATAGGTCTTAGTGTACACAGTCATAAGAGTGTAAAGTATACCAAGCAAAACAACAATATTCTATCACAACTAGAGGGGAAAGCCAATAAACCAATGACCAACTGACTAGATTTCGGATGGTTATTTAAGCCTAAATGAAATTATAAAGAAGCGAAGAAAAAAAACCCATGAATATAAATAGATGCTCATAACGATAAAGGTGAATATAGAATAGAATACTGGCCGTCTCAACGATCATGTTACACGTGTACGTCTTTATCACATATAAAATGTATGCGATCCTTTTGGTTTTATATATATATATATATATATTGAGGGAGATATCGAATCGCGGCGTGTAAGATTTATTATGGGTCCACTAGTGCATACAAAGAGAACAGACTCCAACACCCTTAATCCCTTGTTTTTATTTTATTTTATTTTTTGAATTTTACAATGAGAAACCGGAGATCTATTGTTCTCTAAGCTTATTATTTTACCAAGGGTCTAAAATCCCCAAATGATAATCGAGTCATTCCTAATTGTCGATTCATTTGACCCTTGATATATAAGAGCCATTTAGTATGTCCCGGGAATCAATAAAGCATCTCCATTTGCAAGGTATTCTTTTGTTGGTTTTTTCACAGCCCCTCTCTTGAGTGCTACATCTCTTGCATAGATACGAGTGTCTATTGACAATACAACGTTGTTCTATACATAAAAATAAATAAAAATATTGTCCAATAACAAATTAAGTAATTCGGTTCAAATTCATAGAAAGCATCATTACATTCCCCCCTCACTCCTTCCTTCACTCCTTCTTCCCTTCCTTTCCCTTCCTTCCTCTTCTCTTCTCTTCCTCCCCTTTTGTCTTCTTCCTCTCTCTCTCTCTTGTGTATGTATATATATAAAACTTTTTACACGTGTATCCTTACCGTACTGATGGTCTGGTCTATGAATAAACAATCGCCAAACATAAATGTCGTTGTGTCTGATGTAACGTATGCACTACAGTCTATGTGTTGTCCCAGTTTCCATGTAAGATTTTCTTTATTCTCACGAGCGACGCTATCTAGACCAACTGGAGGCTGTGCATATAAAAAACCGAACCGATCAGTTGGTTAGGTTTCATTAAGAACTGTTAATCTCATCAAGGTAAGATATATTGAGGTATTGCTTTTTGTTTTATATATTTATAATCACCCCTCTTTCTCTCTTTATTCTTATTTTCTCTCTCTCTCTTTATTTATCTTTTTATTTTCTTCTTTGACTGTTGGTACTTACATGAGTATCTAATGATTCATTGAGGTAATAAGCAGCTGAATTAAAGTTCTAATGTCATGTCAATTTACAATAAAAGGAAAGGGAAGAGGGGGGAAGGGAAAGTATAAAAAAAATAATAGAAAAAGAATTAAATATGTACACACAGAAAGTTATATTAATGACTCCTGTAAAAACAAATGTATTACCTGACTATCCAAAATCAGCTTGACATTCAGTTGATGTTCAGCAACAAACGCAAGTATCTTGTTTGCCGTTGCCATTGGATCTACACCAACTCCAGTTTCTAGACTCGGGTTTACAATAATAGCCTCCTTGGTTACTAATCATTATCATTACATATAATATTCGAGTTAGATCCACTTGCTTCACAATCATATTGGTTGGTTGGTTGGTTGGTTGGGTGGGTGATTAGTGTGGCTATTGATAATAATACAAATATATATGTTATATATTTACCGAGATCAGTTATAATATGACTTGTGTTTGAATTATTTGTTGCGATTGAATGCACCCATGGTGAATGGTTGTTATTGAATTTCTGGAGAGGGAACCCAAGAGCTTCCCATTCCAATGCACCACCTTTTAGATCACTAACCCTGGTGAAACCAAGGTTGAGTGCTTCCAGGGCAGTAAAATCGCTCCGGCGCCCTGATCGACATTGAAAGATCGTCTATAAGAAAAATAAAGCACCACATGAAACCCAAAGCGCATACGATACATACACATATAAAGTATCCAAAATTGAGTATTGGGTATTGGGTATTGTTCTTTTTTTTTGACTTTATAAAGAATTCATACATATTATATATATACATATATATAATGTGCAGATGTATCTCCTTCTTACCCAGCGCTCCTTGTCGAGATCATTCAAAACTGCTCTAAATAAAGCAGGATTGGTTTTGGAAAGGCCATACGGTATATTGACAGCTCCTTGGATTTTCCCTCCATTTTCTATTTCAGACGGCTCTCGCACGTCCACCAAAATCATATCTCTTTCCAAACGATCAATCTTGTGCTGCTTAATCAAAATATTTCTCAGAGCCTGGCTCTCGATAAGATGAATTGGTTGATGTGAGGGGGACATTTGTTCAAGTGTGGCGTGTAGCGAAAACGTGGCAGAAGGGGTAGATAGTGATAGGAATAATAAAATAACAAATAATAATAAAAGGGTGTATTTCCAAACTCCAGTGTCTTTTGATAACTTAATTATTCTTTAAATCTATACAAGCGCCATTGCCAGTCAGACGCACGCCATACCAATCTTTGTCGGAGTTCCCAAAGAATCTCTCTATCCATTTGTTATTTCCAGGTAATCCCTTCCAATCTTTCTATCAATCTTTTCTTTATTTCTTTCTTTCTTTCCTTCTTTCCATCCCTTTCTAATTATTAACATTCTTGTTTCTCAATTAGCTCTTTGCTTAGAGTATTTGCGTAGTTTCTTGTAAAGCTCAATGTACTTCTTGCAATTACTATATTTAGATACGGATAGAATATCGGAATTATTAGTATTATAAACAGGGTTTTCTACTCTAAAAGATTCTTAGGTGCTGTTGTTTAGCTTCATAGTTTGTTTAAACCCAATTGTGCAACACAACAAGCTATCATTAACTCAAATATTTGTTATTTGTTGCGTTATTTCATATGTATATATTTGTATAGACACGTACACATTTAAAATAAATAAATAAATAAATATTGATGACGAACCAATGTCTTGATCATATTCAATTACATCCAACGTATCAGACGCTTACACGTATCCGACACTCAACACTTACCTCTTTAACATCTCTCCGCAAACACCTCTTCCACTCCGCACACTTCTTTCTTTTCCATTACATTTTTTTTAGAAAAAATTAACTAGACAACAACAATAACAACAGAAAAATGTCACAGGATTCTCAATCAACCCAATTGGTTCTCCAATACCTCTCCCAAGGATATGTATATGTCTATGACAATCTTAAAGGATCAATCACTATACTACCAGAGCCAGAACGCGTGTTCTACTACCTGTCAATGATCACAAACGCTTTCATTACCCATTCTCCTGCTGCATTACGTCAATTCAACGCATTATTTCAGACCTTGCCTGAACAACTCAACCCTCTCACGATATTCCTCGGATTGATTCTTCTCTACATAATCTATTGTGTATTCATGACCACTGCACGATGGGCGTACGGAATCGTATCGGGTGTAGTGAAGATGAGCCTAGTGATGGCCATTGTAGGAGTATTGGGATATCTAGCACAGGTCTACACAACAGATGGCATGGAAGGTGTAGTGAATGCTCTTCAAGAATTCACGAAACGAACATGAATGAATATTTTTTTGCTTTTTGGATCACACAGCTATTTATCGTATGGACACGCCTTGGAAATGTAATGACGCTTCATGACAAGAAAGGACAAAAAAAAAGAAGAAAAAAGAATTCCCCTTAAATACTTGAATATATGTACACATACACACCCACACACATACGCACACACTCAAAGGTGTAAATGACCTATTTTGAAGAGTCTCTCTTGAGATATATCTAATTATATATATATATATATATGTTTAAACCTGAATGACAGGCTCTTTTTTCTATATACTTTATTTTTCATTTTTTCATGGTAAAAAAAGGCTTGAAGAGTCACAGGCATATGACGTAAAAGGACTCAATGCTGGGTCTGAACTGAAAATGCGTAGCTCATTAACAGCTTTCTCTGTACTTTTTTTTACCTTTTTTTACCTTTTTTTTTCCTTTCTCTCTTTCAATTTGCTTCTTCTTTAAACACCTGATTGCTCACACGCCATTTAAGCACAAAGAATAATCTTTAAAAACAAATTGAGAAAGAAAAGAGCATTAGATACCACAGGTAAAAGAAAAGTTGATGAAGGATTAGTTGATCACTAAATGAATTAGAGGATGCTGTTGAACTCTTCTTCTTGTCGACGTGTATAGTGTACCTGAACTGAACAACTGTGTTAACTCAAATTGTCTAGCCTTTTTATTTTGACCCTATTTTTTTTTACTTTTCCATTTTGTCTAATGAACAAATATCCTGGTTCACCAAAGGGCTCTTCTACAGGAGGTGAGGTTTATTGATTTTTATTTTGCTTTATTTCATTTTTTTTTACTATTCTTGCTGTCATTATTGTCACACACACACATACGTACAGACAAACAGATAGACAGACAAATGTGCATATATGCATAATATGCATATACCTCTTTACAAAAAGCCTTCTTTTTTCTATATATTAAATAGAAAAAAAAAAGAACTTTGACTATACCAATATCAATATCAATGGTCAATGATCAAAATCTGGTTAAAATAAAAATAGTGAAAAAGAAATTCTCCCAAGATATATATATATATATATATAAATGTTTGATTTTTTGGCTCATCATTAAAACTAATAGGAAGCATGTAATTTGTTTTTGTTTTGTATTGTGTATTGTACTTATAAACTTTGTTTTTTGTATTCATTATATATAACATAGGTCCCCGTAATTCAAACCCTCGAAACCGTATTCTGGCAAATAAGGTGGCAGCACCAAGGCCTATAAATTTGCCTAGTCTAAGAAGAGAAAATGCAGGCTCAGAAACCCCTCCGCCCCCACCTACAGTCATCAATACAGGATGGGGCTCACCGTCGTCGGTTCAATCCCCACAACCACAATCAGCAGAATCACAGCAACAACAAACCGAATCAGAACCGGAGCATGGAAATGAGCCAGAACATGGACATGAGTATGAACCAGAACATGAACGTGAACATCGACGTGAACCTGGATTTGAGCCTGAATCACGAGCAGAACTAGCAGATCCACCAAAGACAGATATTGAAAAAGGTAATAAAAATAAAGGATGTCAGAATTTCTTAAGATTATATTTTACTTTTATATATATAATGGTTATTTTGTTACGTTCCAATTATTTGATTGACTAGAAAGAGTTTGGAATACAAATTGGTATATTTGAACTCTTTTATCCTTTTTGTTTTTTTTTTGTTTTTTGTTATTTTTCATTGGATTTTCTATCTTAGTTGAAATCAAAGAGGTAAATTCACATCGCACTTAACCAAAACAAAAAAAAAACAGTCAGTCAGTGCCAAGCTCCTTTAAGGTGTCGCTTTCCCTACCCCCTCTTTCTTGTATTCGTTCCAAATCCACTCATCAGCACAGTGATTTGACTTAGATCCATTTGGACTCCTGTCAAATGCGAAAGTCCGACAACAGTACACACGACTGGGCAGAGGCAAGTCAAACCCAATAGTCTATTAATTATTAAATTAATCAGGTTAATCGGTTAATCAAATAAAAAAAAAACTACTTAAAATTCATGAAATACTCTTTTTCTTCCCACTCATTCATACAGTCTAATGATATAGATGGTTGAAGAGGACGAAATTGCAGAACGAAACAGCCATTCTCATCAGTCAGTCTCTCCTTCTGATCGATTTACAGAAGATTATGACCGTAGTTACCCCCCACAATTTAAACATATCCATGAAGACAAACCCCAGATATGGCGAGGTATTGATGGGCAATCGCGTCAGGGTGATCATCGCTTAAATATAGATCGTCGTTCAAGTGTCGATCGTCGTTCGAGTGTAGATCGTCGCTCAAGTATAGATCGTCGCTCAAGTATAGATCGTCCTGAAACACGTACCTACCGTGAAACGCTCCCACTACCTCCGCTACCTTTAATCCAGCAACAACAACAACAGCAGCAGCAAAATAACCATCATACTCAAAATCAACAGCATAATCAACATCAACATCATCAGCAACAATCACAGCAGCAGCAACCACATCAGCTTCAACAATCACAACAATTTGATCGTGTAGGTGGTGGGGGACCTGAAATAAATGTTTGGCACAGACGGGAACAGCCACTTCATCGACATGACAACGGAAACGGAAGAGGCCGCGGACGTTCCGAAAGGCTACCATCAGATGGATTCCAGCCCGTCTTACTCCAGCGTCCACGTGAAGAACTCGATGGTAATCTAGCCCACCGTGAGGCACTCCCCGCATCGATTCCTATTGGCGAACAACGTACTGTTATGCTCACAGCTGCAGAAAGAGCAAAAAAGAGACGAGATGAAGAAGAGGCGGAATTTGAAGCGATAAAAGAAAGAGCGCGACAAAAGGCACTAGCTTTGGCACCTCGAGTTGAAAAATTTCCTGAAGTACCTGCTCCTACTGCTACAGCCACTGTTGCTAATACCACTGTCACTTCTGCTAATACCACCTCTACTACTGTCACTAATACTGCTACAGGTAATACAACTGAAAAATCTACAGAGCCAGTAAAAAATAACTCCATTATAGTTGAGGAGAGTGGAAATGTTCATTTACAATCTGTTTCAGAAAAATTGGCATTGGAAAAACACCAAACGGTACAACAACAACAACAACAACAACAACAACAGCAGAAATCATCCGCACAAAACCGTGAAACGGAGAAGATAGTCACGACAAATGGTGTTTCAGCAGAAAAGTCGGCGTGGAGATCAATCCCGGCCACATCAATTATTCCTATCACAGAAGACACTGTACAAGAAATAGTCGTCTCAAACACAAGCCTGGGGTCAACATCACCAAGAAAGGTGGATGACATATCAAAAGATAATAAGAAACCAGAGATTTTTGCAGGAAGAAAACTAGTAAATCAAGTCGAGCTGGTCTCGGAAAAATCAACGTCACCATCAACATTATCATCAACAACAACAACAACAACAACAACAACAACAAAAACAACAAAAATAACCAGTGCATATAATTGGCGCCCTTCTGCAGACTCTCCACAAACGGCAAATATACCTGCATCTAGAACAGCGCCAACACCAAAATCAAGCACCACATACGATTCAAAATCTCAAACACAATCAACACATACAACATCAGCAACGGTTCCTGCTCCTGCTTCTTCTAGCGTTAGTGCTACAAATGTTGCTACTCCTGCTGCTATTGCTGCTCTTGTTGCTAGTGCTGCTGGTATTTTGGGTACTTCTAGACCAGCCAAACCTAAAAATATCCATGGGAGAAGTAGAATTGAACCCAAGCCCTTCCGACAGACAACTGAGGCTGTAGAGACCTATGATTATCAGCAAGACAGTCGTATTCAGGCTGGATGGGCTCAAAGTCCCTTTGATAAGGTACCTTCAATCTACAGCACGACCAAAGAAAGCGATGGCTCCAATTGGGGAGCAGCCTCAACCGACCCACACTTTAGCAAGGAAGGCTGGAAGAAACCAGAATGGCAAACCGGAGTAAATGGAGTTGGAGGAAGAGAATGGGAAATAGTAGCTGGAGCTGGAGCTGGATCTGGATCTGGAGGAGCAGGAGCTGGGTTAGAATGGCAGACCTCAACATCAGAGTGGCCAAAGAAACCCGAATGGAAACCATCTGAATGGGATGAACGTGGATTATTGATGGGCGGACGTGGACGTGGACGAGAGCGGGGTCGAGGCAGAGGCAGAGGACGAGGACGAGTTGGACCGGGAGGAATTCGTGATGAAGATTACAATAGTCATGACGGAAGATTGAATAGCGATGGTGTATGGAGAAGATCTTCGCGCAAAGACGAAGAAGCACATCAAGATCCTTTAGAGCCAGTGTCGATCATGACAAAACCACATGCTCATGTCAACTCTACTTCAACTATCAATCCTGAAACCACTCCTAAAACCACTCCAACAACTGCTACCACTACCACCACCCCTAACACCAATACTACCATTATCTCCGAGACGAATACTGGGCATACTTCTGTTTCCACTGCATCTGCTGCAGGATCCACTCCAGACTCGCATATTTCTAGCCACAAATCAGTATCACTGCCGATTAAAAAGATTCTTTCGAGAACATCATCACGCTCACCCATCTTTCCAGAATCGATTAGAAAGTTGGCAGGAAAGAAGCCAGCGTCGCTGACATTCATGGTTAATACAGAAGAAGACGACAAAGATATTACGGTTTGTTTCAATATTTTATTTATTTATTTTATATAAAGAAAGGAATACTGGTTATGGGTTATGTGGCTGTAAAACTAAAACAACCTTGTTATATTTTGCTTTCTTTAAATACGTACATTAGATGGCTGATACATTTATTTCGAGACGAACCAATTACCGAACAGAGTCCCAGACGTCTACACCTCGCTCTCTTTCTGAGAAAGAGGTTGCGTCAAACTATTCAAGTGAATCAGACCATACTGTGGACGAGCCAACAGAGTCTACTGGTTCTGCTGTAACTCCCCCTCCTCCACATCCTTCTCCTCCTACTGCTGCTATTGCAGCTGCAATTGCCGCTAATTCTGTTGGTCATCCTACTAATGGTGGGGATAATGGTAGACATTCGAATATTAACACACCAAACAAGGCACCTTATTCAAGGAAACCGCACCACAACCAGAATCATCAGGCAGTGATGCCACCAGTTATGCTACCCCACAATCCACATTATCCTCTTTTAGTCTACCCATTCCATCATTATGGTGGAGCACGTGAGCAGGTAAATGAGCAGCAACATGGACATCATTATCGCAACCAACAATACATACAACGCTCTTCGATGCAACCCCGGTCCATGAGTTACACCACAAATAGCCCAATGAACATTTATCTGATGCCATCCCAACAAGTCATGTCATACCCTCGACAAGGTTTCCAATAATTGTCATTCAATATATATATATATATAAATATATATAAAAACCAAAAAAAAAAAAAAAAAATCAGCAACCAACCTCTTCAAAAAAAAAACAAATCTTTTCAAACAAAAACAAAACCCCCCCATATTAAACCTTTTTTTTCATTTTCCTTTCTACTTCACCAAATAATAATAATAATAATACTAGTAATAAAATAGCATGAAGTCTTCTTCTATCAAAAATTCGAATAGCCTTGTATTTATTTCTTTGCCAATATTCGATATATGTCTTTATATGGATATATAAGCAACTTAAAATAATTTATTTTTCTATTACATGAATATAAGGGAAATGAATGCATGCATACTTGGAAAAGGCAAGAAATAAAAGTTTTCGTAAGAAATAATAGTTATAGTAGTAATAGTAACATTGATATATAATATATAATATATATAATATAAAGAAGAAGAAGATATGACTTTAAGTATTTACAGCAAGAGAAATTAGAGAGAAAGAACAAAAGAGAGTTTGAATTTGTTTTTTGGTTAAGAGTGTATGCTCATTAGTTCCTCTACTACTTTACACAAGTCTTCAATAGACAAATCTAATTTCCTACCACCGTTCTGACCATCTACTACACCTTGCATTTGTTGAGGAGTCAAGTCCAAAAAGCTCTCAATCAGGTCACCATCAATGACATTACAGCTCAATTCTTGATGATCCACGGTAGACCAATTACGCCAACTGAATAAGAAAAAAAACATTAAATTTGTTTGGTTGTTGCAACATGATACACAATTTGATATAATTCTATTCATGACATCAAACTTACTCTGCATGGCTTAATTCTCCAATGCTGTTTGCAATACGGGTCATATTGCTTTGCATCTGACGTAGCAAATTGAACCTTTCGGCCGAGAGATCCACTATCATACCAATCGAACCACTTGTAGCAACAAATATAATCGACGAGCTGACAGTCTGACTATCCGGATCTGAATTGTCCACACCCAAAGATCCTTATTAAACAAAAAAGATGGTAATTAGCCAGACCTATTCTATATAATATCATTCGATTGATTGATTGTTTGTTTGTTTGTTTGGATGGATGGATAGATGGTTGATGTTACCCAGACAGTTTTCCTAGCTATATAATTACCAAATCTAAACTGATTGACCATCTCTCCAAGATGCCATTGACTGACTGTATCCAAGAGCGGTTCTTCTTGAAAAGACTCTGTTGAGTCTGATGGACTACGTTCAACCACAAATAAATGTCCTTCTCTCTCGGCACCAATGTAAAGATCCTGGCTGAGAGCTTCGACTGCAGTAACCTGCTGATGCATCTCATCACTCCCGAGATCTTCAATCGTGTGTGTCTTTGGGTTGTAGTGGAGAGCGGTCATTGAGCAAACAGTGTCACCGGTAACAATCATATCGTTGCAACTGGCCACAGAGGTGGTTACAGTAGGTGTAGTGTGTGAACATTCAGACACCAGATAACCCTTGCCAGATAATCCTGTTTCCCAAGAATAGATATTAATCTAATTTTTTTTATAAAAAAAAAACACATACACAAATGATTTGTTTAATTAAATATAAAGGGCTTGTAATAAGCAAGTCCAAAATAAGATATATATATATATAAAACAATTACTTACTTGACCACGAGAGGTCACCAAGACCTTTCCATCCATTGGTCGTATATTTTCTACTATTCCATGAGCTTTGATCTGGAATACCAGGTCTAATTTTCGGTCTTTTACAGTGAACACTAAAAGCCTTCCTTCTCCAACAGCATCATAGGCATCGGTTTCCTTTCCAGTTCCGAGAACATAATAAGTATTTGCATCATTGTCAAACACAACCGAGGCCACTGCCAATGGACGTTCTGGTGCTTGAAAATAAATACGATCCAGCACTTTTGTTGTCGTTGATTATTATTATTATTATTATTTTAAAGAAAAGAATAAATTAATATATTTCCAGAAAACCAAAAGAAAGAAAGAAAGAGAGAGTATTTCATTTTAAATTTTTCTTACCTGCAAAAGTTTGGTCATCGATCAATTCAAATCCACCCATCAAAGGTTTTCCATTAGATGATAGCTGTTGTTGAGAAGATTCGGTCACAAGTCCAAAGGTCCTTGTGGATTCTTGGTGAGTGATCCTACGAGGAGTATCGACTGTTGCAATTTTGGTGATGTGTAATTTTTGGATTTCTTCCATCTGACCGATCAACAATCCTTCCTTGGTCGTCAGTGCAATTGCATCTGGGAACGACACACTATTAAAAGATGTGACACATCTTACTTCCTATGTACACATTTATATATGGTTTAATGTGATATTATTATTATTATTTGATTTTGATTTTGATTTTGATTTATAACTATATATGTGTATATTTACCTTTAGATTGACATTGGAATAAAGTAACTTTTGATTTCGGCTATGAATAACACTCGGCTTGTCAGAAGCTGCAAACACATGAGTGGTACCATTCGATGTAAAAGATCCCAGAGAAATCGGCTGTTTTCCAAGGAATGTACGTTTCTTATCCCACAGTTTTCCCTGGCGACTGTCGAGCTTGAAGTTGTAGAACTGACCATCTCCCAAAGCCACAAGCAAATAACAAATCTCCTCGAATTTGGCCATAAGGATCGAACGTGGCATGACAGTACCGGCCAAAGGTTCTTCGGCAATAATATTCAAATAAGGCAGAGACAGCAGTAGGACGCCGACATTACCCCAGATTCCTACAGCCACTACCGAAGATGCCAGAGAAGTATCGGTTGGACTGATATCAATACACGATACTTCATGCTCCAACTTTGTTTTTCTATTTTATATATCCAAATAAATCAATACATATACTTTGTATCTTAAAGTAAAATAAAGCCCTCAAAGTAATACTTGCCCTATTTCTTCAAATCTGTTGTTGGAAACCTGAAGAGCAATAAGTTGGCCAAACCCAGTAGATAGTACACACTGTGTTGGGTTGACACTAGCCACAGTAATCTGGGTGCCTTCGGGTGCTTTCCATTCGTCCAATAAATTTCCGTCTGGGGTAGATTCAACAAGACGGGCGCTGTGCTCAGTAACCTGAATAATGAGATTTCCAACCATCACAGCTGTGACCAGTGTACGTTGATCGAGTGCAAGACCAGAATGACTTTCTACTGGCACCATGGTACTATCTCGCAATTGAAGGATTCGTGTCTGATTAAAGAATGAAATTACCAGCATATCGTCATGACTTTTTTTTTGAAAAAGTTTAATAAGTTAGTTAAATTTTTTTTGTATAGCTTTGTGTGTATGATATATGCATATTAAACTTACACATCTTCAAACAATGGACGTAGAGCCCAGACTCCTTTAACACCACTAATCTCAATAGCCGCAAGTTCATTTAATCCAACACCATTGCGAATAATACGTAATGAACTATCTTTTCCGACACCAGAACAAGTAATCAATTGATTATGTCCCTACAAATACACACCCACACATTTATATATAAATATATAAATATATATATATATATATGTTTATTCTTATTTTACCTGCTTATCCAAGTCAGCGACACAAAAGTCAGAGATGGGGCCGAGGTTTGGAAACTCTTCGAGAACTTCTAGTTGAACGTCGCCTGATGTGGTGTCATCACATTCCATAATATGAACCAACTGGGAGTCTCCTAATGTGGATCCTACGAATACGACATCGTTATCCAAGTATACCAAACATGAAGGCAAAGGAATCTATATAAATTAAATTAAATTAAAATAAAGGCTTTAATATTTCTCCACATGTAATATATATATATTACCTGACCAAGACTAATTAAAGAAAGTCGATCTACAGTCTTGTTATCCAAAGTTACTGCCAAAAGATAGAGTGTTCCATCGGTGTCTGCTAGCATTATGCGAGATCCACTTTGATCCATGATCGAATAACTGTTGATCGTGCAAGGTCGGATGCCAATTGCTCTTGGGTTTTTGTCTGGGTGAATAAAGCGTATGTATTGACCCGAAATGACCACCACTCCACCCACAGGCGCGGGCATTGGAATCAAAAGATTCGCATCTCTGCCAAATCGCTCTGGCTTCATTTTGTAAGGCACAAGTTCTCGGTTCCGAAGGTCTAAGGTGAATAGCTCGAGAAAACGGTGGCCCACAGGTGTATCATACAATACCATAAGTGTAGGTTCATCTGAGTTTTGCAAGAATGCAATCGATACCACAAACATATCTGCAAGACTTTATATGTATATATAATATTGTTGTTGTTATTGTTATTGTTGTTGTAGTAGTAGTAGTAGTAGTAGTAGTAGTAGTAGTAGTAGTAGTAATGATAATAGTTATATGAGTTTCTTTTTCTTCTTGTCGTGTGCACTCCTTAATCCACTGATAAAATCAGCTGTCCATCATAACTATAAATAAATAAGCAATTAAATAAAGAGAAAAGCATACTTGATGTGGACAAAGTCTTGAGGTGTTGAAGATTTAGTTTGGCTGTGTCTTCGCCGAGATTCACGTGTTTTAAGAGATGATCGTCGACGATGATTAGTTCCTTCGCGATTACGAGCGCATTCACTTGGGATGATTACGGTGAGAATGTTCTGATAAAGAGTTGCTGCAAAGTAGATACCAGACGGATCCATAGCTGTACGAATATTGCCAGTCTCCATTCTCATTTCACCTGGCATCAGTACTTCGCCGCTTGCCTCGGTCAGAACTTGTTGCGATGACTCTGAGTAGTTCAGAACACAGTACTTGTGACGTGCGGTCAATAAGAAAAGGGAAGCTTTGTCTCGACCCTTATTATCATCGATCGATCGATTGATTGATTATCATTAACTTTTTGGTTAGAGATAATGTTTGTATACATGCTTGTGCATTCAATTATACAACTATAACAGTAGCAGTAACAGTAGTAGTAGTAATATATTTATTTGTTCTTTTAAAAAAACGTGCAAAGAAGAAGACGAATAGAAAGACTCACGGGTGGGACATGAAGGGTCATTGCAGTAATTGTACCATAGATACTGAATTCCAGCGTAGGCTTGAGTCCATCTGGAGTCAAGGTATAGATCTCGATACGTGTTCCTTTGCTACCCGACCCCTATCAGCACAGTCTGTGGTGGTGAATTATAAATGCAGGGGAACTTTGGCTTACCCAAGCACCAAGTTGGTGTCGTTTGGTGCTGTAAAGGATCCTTTGACTGCAAATTGTGTGGCAGTTGGTTTCTGAGCCGTTACGACATATTTATGGTAAGTCATGACGAGTCAAAGAACAATAAGAATAAGAAGAAAAAAGAAAAGAGAGAAAGAGAGACAAGTAGGCAGGCAGGCAGGCAGGCAGGCAGGCAGACAAAAAAAAACTATGAATTGGTCTGAGAATAGGATATTAGCGATCACCGTCACACTCACTAATTAACTCACCACCACTTATACGCACTTCATACTTCACACTCCACACTCCACACTCCACACTCCATAAACTCCACACAATTTACTCCACACTCTAAATACTTTTAAAACACGAATAAACCCACTTTTTACGTCCTCTCCTTATAAGCGTATTACACACAAGCCACGTAAACAGCACACACACACGCCCACATGCACATGCTTCATATAAATATAAATATAAATATATATTGTTTATTTGTTTTCACACGAGATATATTTATTTTATGATGTGATGTTTCAAAAGGAAAAGAAATCAAAATATACTCAAGTACACGTATACACGCAAGCAGCCATAAACACACTTATACACCCATATATATATATACAAATGGGTGTATGTGCTTTGTGTGCTTTGAATGAAACAAAGAAAAAGAAGAAGAAAAGAAAGACAAAACAAAACATGGCATCTTAATAAAGAGAGGGAGTTGGAAGATTGACAACTCGGTTGAGAGGGGGGGTTTTTTTTCTTAGATTGCCTGGGGCTCATGGGTGGATGAGGTATCTACGGGTGGGTCGTCATAATCGATTTCAGGGGTGAGGGTGAGGAAACCATGGAGATCGGGTTCTTGTAATGGGTAGACCGAGTCATCTGTGGCATAGAGAAAGAACTCAACCGAGTCGTGTGTTGACTCTCTGTTGAACCAGGCAGATACAACCTCTGCTTCCGGCTGAACGGGGCGAGAACAAGTGAGCGAAAGGAATTCTATTGACGTCGACATTTATCAAAGAAGAAGAGAAAGAGAGAAAGGAGAAAAAATAAAAAAGAAATAAAAAAAAGTGTGAGAGAAAAAAAAAATATAAATAAATAAATAAATAAATAAAATATATATATATATAAAAGGTCAACTAAAGCAAAGCAAGGCAAAGCAAGGCAATAATAGTATTAGCTGTTTATGCTGTTACCTTTTTCGGTTTTTGATATTATTATTATTTTTTGGATTTTTAACTGGTTGAGTACCCGACTAACGAACCGTCTAAAGAAGTACAAAGAAAAGAAAAGAAAAAAAAAGTCCCTCTTATTTCTTGATCTTTTGAATGTTTGAGTTGTGTTCTTTTCTGTGAAGAAGCAGTAGAATCTATTGCTTGACTTCATTTTATTTTTGCGGACACGTGTTGGTTGCAATTGACTTTGCAACATGCCATTCTTGCGTTAGTAGGCCTGTTTCTAATCGGATTATTTATTCATGTATTTGTGTATTTATTAATATTTTATACAGATCCTTTGGTTGATGTTAAAGTAAAGAGTAGACACGATCGGCCAAATAATATGGCATTGGCTATATAAATGAAGTTGTTCAAAAGAGAATCAGCATCGTCTATTCTCATCTATCCTTCTATTTCTCTTTGGTTGCCTTTAACTCAAAATGACAAGACTCTCACTAACTGCTATTGTCCTAGCCATCTCTGCAGTGACCCTGGCCCAGGGTAAGTCAAATAATCTATATAGAACAAACCAATAAGAGATCCAAAAAATCAGATTTTTTCTAATCTGGGCGGTTTGTCTTTTGTGGGTCCTTTATTTTTTTTATTTTTTATTTTTTACTTTCTTATTTTGGGTTGTAGCACAAGGTCCCGAATGTTCCGGTAGCATCAAACCCATAAGTCAGGGTGACCTTGAAGCTATCAAGAACTGTAAGGTCTTCACTGGCTCAATTCTTATCGATGCCACCCAAGAGGCCTTCCTGACTCTTAACGGGGTCGAGGAAATAACCGGCGATCTTATTGTCCAATCAAGCGTTGACCTCAAGTCATTCAGTGCACCCCAGCTAAAGGTCGTCCGGGGGGAGCTCAAGCTGCAGAACCACACTATCCTTGAACGTGCAGACCTACCTGCCCTGGTCGAAGCAAAGGGACTCACCCTGGCAATCTTGCCAGGTCTTCAAATCATCCAGTTCCCCAGCGGTCTCAACAAGGTCGAGTCTGTTAGAATCGAAGACACCCGTGCACCAGCCGTCACTGGCCTGGGTCCCGAGACCATGGACACTTTTATTCTCACAAACAACAATTACATGCGCCAGTTTGATCTCTCAACCGTCAAGCAAATGACCGGCACACTCTTTATCACCTCTAATGGCCAAGGTCTTGACTTTGGGGTAAGTCAATCAGTTCATTGAGAACTAGTTTGAGCTGTTCTACACATCTGTTGCTATACTTATCTATTTTATGTTTTTATTGACTTCCATTCTCAAAGGCGACCAATCTGGCCACTCTCCGCAGTGCCACATTCCGCAACCTTGCTCAGCTCAACCTGCCTGTTCTCACAACAGTGGCAGCGGATATTTCATTCCACCAAAATGAATTCACCAAGCTTTCTCTTGATGGCCTTGAGATGATCGGTGGCACGATGACTCTGGCAAACAATGACCGGCTCACTGAGACCTCGTTCAAGAGTCTGTTCAAGATCGGTGGTGCTCTGTCGATCGGCAACAACACCCAGCTCAAGGCCATCGACGGCTTCTCTAAATTGTCCGAGGTAGATGGAACAATTGACCTCGCAGGTGCCTTTGACTTGTACGCCATGCCAGCCATCCAAGATATCCGCGGTGGAATGCGGCTCCAGACCTCAAGTTCGGTTTTCCCTTGCTCAGAACTCGAAAAGAAGCTCAAGGGAGACAATATCGTAAAGGGAAATACATGGAATTGTGCCTCTAGTCTCGAGGAAAGTCAGATGGCGCCAACTCTCGGACAAGAGTCTTCGCCTTCAGCTGGCCAGGCCAAGATTGGCACTGGTTCGACCGGAAATATGGGATCCTCGGGATCTGGTAGTGCTGGTTCAAGCTCAAGTTCATCCGGAAGCGGCAGCAATGGCTCAAGTGCCAATATCGCTGGTTCAGATCTTGATCAAACCACATCTGTTGCCACTCAACTCCAGGGATCCTGGCTCGCCTTTGCCATGGGTATTGCGGTAACCTTTTGGTTCTAGGTATTAAGCCAGTCTTAATCACAAGTGAAAAAAGAAAGAAAGAAAGAAAGGGATTAATACGCCAACACCCTTACAAACCCTTAAAATTCCCCTTTTTCTTTTACTTGTTTAATAATTACTTGATTACTAGCCCAAACGCTTATATTTTATATACAAAATTATATCTATACATATCTTAACGTATCTATACATATATATCTGTATTTTTGTCAACCTTCTCTATGTTTAATTCTCTTTTCTTCTTCTATTTTACTACCATTTTCTTGCCTTTCTTTCCTTTTTTTTTTGCTTTTTGTTTTTTTCTTACTTTCAAAATAAAATTCGCGCTATTAAAATAAAAAATTAAAAAAGTTGCGGTCGTAACAAATAAGGTTTTGTCCAATAGAAACAGTTTAAATTATCATTATTTCTAATCTACAATTATTCCGAACAATTATGTCTTTTTAAAAACATGTAATTTGAATAAAGTCTCAATTCCTTTTCATTAATAGGTGCTTTGTATATACACAGTAGTTATGCAACCAATTTTGTTTAATTTGATTCGATTTGAGCTCTAAGAATTCTACATTTTGACTTTTTCAAGTAATAAAAGCACCAATGATAAAGAAAGTATGAATGGGTATAAGTATTCCCATCTACTCTTTTTTTCTTTTTCTTTTTTGCTTACTTAACTTTATATCTGGTACACCTTACTAACACCCCCTTGACACTGCACTACCATTTCCCTCAATACCCCCTTTCCTTGAGCTCGCTTATTTCAAAACGATCTTTATTTACGTTTGAGAGTGTGTTTAATTAATGTCCTTTTCTTAGAATTTATGCCTGTATTTATTTCTTCATTTCTGTTACAAATAACATTCCTTTAGATACAATACTCGCCTCTTTTCTCGCGTCTTTATCTATTATTACTATAGCCATTTTACGGTACCTAAAAGAAAAATATATATATTCAAATACAGAAAACAAAAAAAAAAGAAAGACCGTTGATCCATTACCCGAATTATAGGATTTTAAACATTGTTTCACACACACACAGAAAAGCATGTGGTGTATGGTGCATTATGTGTGGAATGGGCTTTATTGGGCTTAAGAATGCTTTGTTACAAGATATTGCTGAGATTTGTTGAACTAACAAATGGGATAAATATACCCTTTTTCTTTCCATTTTACCTGTGATTTACCAGGTAAATTATACCTTGTACAATTGTTTATTTATATTCTATATAAAGGTACTTTGGTTTTTCTGTATAGGCAAAGATATATACATATATGAATGCTATAGAGATCATAATTATAAAAGAAAATTTGAATTTAGTAACAAGGTTGTCTATTCAAAATGTAATAAACTTTTGGCTCTTGTAGATAGATTTTCAAGTAAAATGTTCTAAATAAGAAATAAGATATATATATATATAATTTATGGACTTTAATTGGTCTATTAATGGTAAATTTCTCCAAATAAAATAATCGAATCTATCTATAGCGTGTCATCTATTATTAATTAACCTTGACAGAAACCACAGAACAATCGCACAGCTCAAGGATGAGTAATAATAAGTCTTTTCTTGTGTGCGTGTGTGTATGTCCCTTTTGCTCGGTGTATACATATCTATGTCAAGTTGTGTATTAATGTATACATATACTACTGCGGCAGTTAAGAGTCATTTTATCCCATGGTTGCACAACCACTGTAGACCCTCAAAGATATATAAAAAAATATAGACAAGATTGAATACTCTGGCCTAACACACTATATAAATAAATTGTATGTATAGTTTAGATACCATTTTATGCATCGACACCTACAGAAGTATAGTTTATATAAAAGAAAAGAATAAAATCTATTGAGCAGAAAATATCCAAAGTATAGATATATTAAGGGTTCAGCCCCTTTTTCTGTGATCATACCTTATATCTGTACACCCAACCCTCCAAAAATAGGTCTATAATTCACAGCCAGTCTTTGGTTGTAAATTTATATATATATATATATTTTTCTTTCTGCTTAATTTAATCTAAATTGGATATCCACCTTTCTCTTTTCTTTTCTTTTTCTGTTGTTTTATTCAAACATGGATGGGCTATCAAAAAGCTACACTGACAGTATCTACAGCAATGACCCAAGAGAGGACACCAATGCCTTGGGCCTCACGCATTCAATAAACTCCAACTACAGTGGCTCTCCCCATGATTCTTCTGCAGTCGAGCCTCGGCCTAGAAAGATGTCCAAGGCATCATTAACAAGTGTCTTTGAAGACACCGAGTACAACGGTCTGAGTGTCGAGCCAACCCCAACTCCTCTACCAAGACTTCAAATGTTTATCATCAGTATCATCCTGTTCAGCGAGCCATTAACATCGACCATCTTATTTCCCTTTATCTATTTCATGGTTTGTCATTAATTAAAGAATTAATTATATATGTCCATTTTACTCACTTGGTTTGTACATTTCCCAGATCAAAGACTTTCATTTGTCAGATGATGAAAAGGAAATCGGTGCATATGCAGGCTGGATTAGTAAGTCAATCACAAAAAAATAAGTGTCATTATATGGACGTCATTAAAAAAACACCTCCCCTCCTCTCCCCTTACACCATCAAACAAATCAATTACCCGTCTCCTCTTTTTTTTTGATTCTGCTGTAGATGTACTGATGTGCTTGTAATATTTTGTTTTCTAGCCTCGGTGTTTTTCTTGGCTCAGTTCTCTACAGCGATACAATGGGGCAAGATATCAGATAATCACGGAAGAAGACCTGTACTACTCACAGGTCTAATTGGAAACAGCATATCAGCTTGTATGTTTGGACTCAGCAAGAACTTGTGGTGGGCAATTGGAGCACGAGCATTTTGTGGAATTGTAAACGGTAAATCTATCTATATAAATTATTTTCTATTTCCTCCCCTCCCTTATCATTCACAAATCATATCCATACAGGAAACAGTGGTGTGGCCCGAAGCATGGTTAGCGAAATAACCGATTCGACAAACAGAGCAAAGGCTTTTTCGATCTTTGGTTTCTGTTGGGGTATTGGCATGATTGGTAAGTGTAGAAAGATAGATACACAATTTGCTTTTGGGGATATTCCAGTATTACATAGGACTGCATTGTATCTTATTCTGTAATCCATAACTAATATATATTTGTGTATTCTTATAGCTGGTGAGTGAAAATTGACATGATATCAATTAGCATATACGCACACATTTCCATATTAAATACATTAAAGACTGACCAACTATTCTATCGACTATTTAAAACAATCCAAATAATAACAATAATAACAATAGGCCCGGCTCTTGGTAAGCTTTTATTTATTTATTTCTTTTTGTGTGAGTGAGTTAATGAGTCAAGAGAAGCGTTAACTAACATTTACACAATATATAAATAAATAAAACAAAATAACAGGTGGCTATCTTAGCAGACCTGTTGAAGGATTCCCTGAATACTTTGGTGACAATGAATTCTTGAAGGAATATCCCTATTTCCTGCCTTGCTTTGTGTCCTCCATAGGATCCTTTATTGGTTTCCTCATAGGTTACTTTTATCTCAACGAAACTAACCCTCTGACAATCGCCAAGAACATTGAGAACGAAAAGGCAAAGCAAGATGAAATAAGAGAGTCTAATGACACCAGCAGTATCCGCACCAACAGCAATACCGACAACGACACCGAGCGCCTATTGTCTGCAGACCATCAAACATCCAGTGCACAAACCTACAAGACATTTTCTAACGCTAACGATCTCGATGCTACTGGTTCCCAATCAACCAAGGCAGAAGAAGAACCCAAGAAAGGCTACCTGAATGCCCTTAGTTCGGTATCCCGCGACTCGGCTTTGCTTATCCTGGCATACTCGTAAATATTCTCTACTAATGTTAAGATTAGACTACAGGACTCCCATAGTGTATAATTTTACTAAAGAAAGAAAGAAATGAAAGATATAAAAAAATTAAACAATTGATATCTTTTTTTTTTATGTTGTTACCATTAGCTTATTTGGTTTCCACTCCATGGTTTTCGACGAAATCTTGCCACTTTACTTTTTGGCCCCTACTTATGCTGGTGGTCTAGGATCAACTTCCCCTGAATTTGCAAAGGCACTTTCAATTCTGGGCATCCAGCAGCTCATTATCCAGTTTTTTGTCTACCCACGCCTCAGCAGAAGTTTCTCGACTCTGGTCATGACACGTTTTGCTCTGGTGGCATTCGTCTTTGTCTACTTCCTCTTCCCAGAACTATCGACTGTCAAGGAATGGGTCAATATGGCAATTGAGGACGAAAATACAAAAGACTGGGTCTTTAGAGGAGTATATATGAGTCTCTTGTTTGTAAGATATCTTGGAAACTGTCTTGCATTCACTAGTTTGATGATCTTGGTCAGCAACTCGGCTCCAGCTGAAGCGCTTGGAACTGTTAATGGGTAAGGATAAACCAGACACACACACACACACACACACATATATATATATATATATGTATGTGTGGGAAAGGAAATCTGGAATGAATTAGTGGAATTCATTTATTGATTTTTCTTTTCTTGTGTTTGCATATGTAGTGTTTGCCAATCTTGTCTTTCTCTAGTACGAGCATTTGGTAAGCTATAAATTAAACAACTAAAGACCTTCCAATTGAATGAATAGGTTATGGTTTTACTAATTACTAATAATATTATTATGAAAATAGCACCCACGATTGGTGGAACACTTTGGTCTATTTCTCTTCGCACAGGCAGCGGTTATCCATTTGACCACCACATGGTGTATTATATTATTGGCACTTTAGCCTTTTTTGGATTACTTCAAACTTACTCTATTCCAGCCGACATTGCATCACGTGGCAGACGTTGAGAAACTAGGACGAGTTAATAAATTATATATATATAACAATTGACTTTTATACAGAAAAAAAAAGATATCCTTTTTACAAAAGAAATACACATGTATATACAATTATACATACATTTGCATGTCTTTTATTTATTTATTTATATTTCAAATATATCAGTTATCTATTTTTCCGTTTCAATTTAATTTAATAGAATAATAACGTATATTGAAAGAAAAATACATATATTTCTAAATTGATGAGGTTATATAACTACAATTTCTGCAATTCTTGTTATATCTATGACAGAAAATTTGATATTGTATAATAGTAAGACTATTTTCCGGTTCGGACCTGAGCAGTCTGTCCATAGGAAGAGACGTGTATTTTGGCCCAAATCGATAGAATGCTGTACCACCTATGGAAGTAGGATATACAATAGGGTCACAGACAATTTTAATAAACAAGTTCTTCTTCCCTTGTTTTATTGAAGGGTATCTTGAGAGATCCCCGAGCGAAAGTAGAGAATTCAGAGCAACATACTAAACGGACTTTGGTTGATAAGCACTGATTGATATCCCTAAAACCGAACTTTGCGACGCACTGTCCATTCCTGTGAGAAACAGCTACGAAAACATACCAGAACCTATCTACCAGCTACATCCCAGTACGCTTTATATTTCCCCACAAACACTAAACCTCAGACCCTTCTATGCCAATTCGTTCTTGAGCCCGATAATCCTATCTCCATCGCTCTTGAATTCCTGGCTACTCAATCCGTTCCAATATTACACCATCCTTTTTTTTTTGAACCACTGTTTATCAAGTTATATATATATATATTTGGTAAAGTATCTAACTAGAAATATGACAATAAACACATATTTACTCAAGTATCTGTTGGCTACTTTTAATATTAATAATATAGCTACCATTATATCTTTTTGATGCCACTCATAATAATATTTATAATTTTTATTGTGGCATGTCTTTATAAAATAAATGTATCCTAACTTTGCTTTTATATCCGCATTTTCTTTGTAAACCGTATTCAGTTAAGTCCAAGTGTTGTTTTGTCAGAACAACAACATCTGGCAAGTCTTTTACAAAGCAAATTCCGTATACACTCGTTATATAATAATAAAAGTAATAGCTTGTTACAGAAATTAACATACAAAGAGCTTTCATGTTGTACTGTTTGCTGGTTGTCATTTCTTAGTTCATGGCAATTAGATCAAATCCGTAAGTATTAAATTTCGTATAGCTTACAATCAATGGCACTCTCTAATGTACAGATATCTTTTTTTTATAATATTATATAGTCGACTATCTTTTCAAATAAGTACTAGTGTAAGTACTTAAAACAACAAGTTAAAACTATATAGTAGGAAGTATTGCTACATTCAATTGTTTTACGAAATGAATGTATTAAAAAAAAACTAGAATTATTTTCAAGAAAATATTATTGTTCAACTATCAAAATAAACAAAACAAAAAAATCACTCAAAATAATGCAAAATCGCTTCTTTAAAATGTATGCTTTCCCATATGTGAAATGCTAAGAAATATACTTTCCCACAAACGCTAATTATTCGGGCCAGACACTTTTCCTCTCGGGCACGATGTTTCTCTGGAGCACTACGTTTATTGAATCTCCGCCTTTCACCATTTACCGGCCTCATAAAAAGTGACTTGTTGTCCGGCATCCAGCAATTTTATCTGGTCCCTAACCACCCAAAGTAGTTTATATGAGTAAAATCAATCTATCAAAATACAAATAATTTAATTCATAAATAAAGTACATCTTCATTTAATATAACGGAATTTCTAGGTGTACTTAAGTAGTAACCATATTAAAATTTCTATTTTTTTTTATGCAGTATATACAAAATATACAATTTGTAAACGTCATGCCCGAGAGGCAAAACGTTGTGTCCCAAACGTGACTGTGTATGAAACGTCATGCTCGAGAGGCAAAATGTCGTGTCCCAAACGTGACTGTGTAAGAAACATCATGCTTGAGAGGCATAACGTCGTGACCTAAATGTGGCAATAGAATAATTGTGTTCAAGAAAACTGTTGATGCAATATTTTACTTATTGAAAGTAAAGCTTCTATAAGTATAATTATAGAGGTTTCTAGAATTTTACTTTACATTTTAAAGAGTTTATATTCAATGCAATGTCTTTTTTATTGTAGTTCTCATGCAATAAACGCACAATATAAAATAAATAAATAAAAATTGTGACCACACCTATTTCTGTAAAAACACAAGATCTATTTAGTTCTCGTCAACAAATCATATACCTGCTGTTGCTGATGAGTCATTTTTTCACGATTTAACTTGAGACATAAATCATATATTTTCATTTTATGTGATTTAAGTGGAAAAGATTATAATCCATATAATTTGCATTTTTTTCAAAAACTTTCGTAATAGATATAAAGGTAATGAAGCCTTTTATGCCTAAGAAAGTTTGCATAGCAGTAAAGCTAATATATTTTTACAAAATTCATGTTTTTACTTTTTATTTTTTATTTTTATTTCTTCTGTAAAAACTCTTTCTATCATTTCCTTGCAACATGTACATGAGATATTTTATCAAAAATACAAAAAATGAAAAATATTTATATAAGACCAAAAAAAGTTTTTAATTACATATATTCAGATAACATATGAATCCAGTAAAAGTTTCATAGAAAACAAATGAGAAAAAAGTGATTCTACAAGCAAATACAATATTTTATTTTATTGAAAAAAAGCAAATTTTTGAGATATTACGTTAGTTTTCTCATGATCGACCCTTTCAATTCAACTAAAAATTCTAGAACACATACATATATCTATAAACTACTTGGATCCAAAGTTATAGAGAGCCAAGACTTGAATTGATGAAATAACTAGATGCAAATGCATAATATAACATATTCGAAGATAGTTTGGCTCGGTCTGTGTAACACCATCCGATATTTATGATTTTTAATTCGCTGGTTATAAGTGTAACTCGAAGGGTAAAGTACTTCCCACGAATGATCTCTAGAAAAAAACAGAGCAGAGAGTCATTTAACCCACAAGTGATAGATAGCTTATGTTGACACAAAGAAACAAATTGATAAGATTTATAAAGATTTAAAAAAGATTGTCTAGCTAATAAAATATAAAAGTAAATGAGTAAATAAATAAGAAAAGATCTAGCTAATAAAATATAAGTAATAAAGTATAATTAAAAGAGTAATAAAATAAAAAAGAATATTGAAAAGAAATTATTTTGGAGTAAGATCAATTGGTTGATCTAGAACAGAATGGAGAGAGAGCATGACATTTCGGCAATCATGCTTGTTAAATTCTTTGAACTTATTCCAGTAAGTATCAAAGTTATCATCAATTTTATTTCTGGCACAACCTAAAAAAAAATAATTCAGGAACGGTTGGCCATTTTCTAGAGATATTACGGGAAAGGTCAACTGTTGTCCAGTGATTACTGTTAACATAATTAAAAATCAGAGGTTGTTGTTGTTTGGTTTTGTTGTTGGGAAGGGCAAATGGGAGAAAGGTTGTTGAGGGGGTGTTGGGGTTGTCTGAGTAGACGCAGACTGGTCGTATATATGTGTCCGCAGCTAGTTGAGCACAGTCAGGTGTGTTAAACCACATACTGGCATCTGAACATACTGGGATGAAGTTTGTGTTGGTGTTGGTGTTGCTATAATCGAGTTGAGAGACATATTGAATGATTTTTCCTAGTTGGCTTGTGTCAGTGCCAAAGGTATTTGTGTACAATGTTTTGTATTTCGGCAGGGCGGCTAGCATATCCCTTTTTACAAGTGAAAACTTATTTTGATCTTTATAGATCAAGTGGGAAAGGACCCGAAAACCACACCACCCGTCAGCAGTAGGGCTAAACCCACCCTTGACATCATTGACTATCTCATGAGAGACAGGAAAACTGGGCTGGAATTTGACCCTCTTGCCAACAGAAATGCAATTATCATACTGGTAATCTTCTAGGGTGGTGGCAGGTCTTTTGAACCCATTTTTTTGGAGGGCATCGACTAAAAAGTATATAAGTATAAGACAATAGTTCTCTTTATGGATTCAATTACACTGTAAAATAAGAAAGCATATTACCTGGGTCGAGAGGCTCTTGTTTTATTTTTGTTGTTTTATTTTTGGTGGCATCGACTAAAAAGCATATTCGTGTAAGACGACATCCTTCCACATAAATTCAATTAAAGTAAAATAAAAACACATTTTACCAGGGTCAAGAGGCTCTTGCTTTATTTGTTTTATTTTGTTTTTGGTAGCATCAACTAAAAAAACATGAAAGTATAAGATGGGAATCCTTTCTCATAGATTCAATTACATTGTAAAATAAGAACACATCTTACCTGGGTCGAGAGGCTCTTGTTTGTTTTTGTTTTGTTTTTTGTTTTTTGTTTTTTGTGTAGCTGCAGGCTTTCCCTCCCTCATTTTAGCTCTCAGTCTAACCATTGCCTTAAGGCCAGCCTAGTATTTCAAGATACATATTAATACTTTGTTATTTTTTTTATCTTACATGACCAGACGAAACACTGATCTTCCTCCAGTTTGCCTGACCAAAGTCTTTGGGAAGGTATTTGGGATGTGCACCACCCTTTCTTCTGCCAGGATATTTAATTTTTTTTGGGGCTTGAAAGTTAATCAAAGGGTGCCCAGTTTTGCCTTCGAATTCAGAAGTGACCTTATTGATCTTATTCAGGAGGTTAGCCACTTGCTGGCTGCTCTCACAGGACCAAAACAGTGCCTCGAGTTTAATTACTTCCTCCATCCACACCTCTGGTCTTTCCTCAAGCTGGAAGTTTCCCTGACAAGTGTTGTCCCTTGGCTTTACATTACGAGGGTCAATAACCCACCTTTCAGGGATATCAGAAATATAGATATCTCTTCCAGCAGGCAAAGAATGGCGACAAGGTAGACCATACTGGAGCTTGTTCATGAATTCACAAACAATACTGCTTTCACATTTCAGTCGAACCTCTTGGTCTATTACCAGTAAAGCTCGCTTTGAGACCTTCATGAGCAGTCTAGACAAAAGCTTGTTTCGTCCAACAAGAGGGTCAACCGTGGTAGATTCCCTGATCTCCACATTCCGGAAGTCTCTCTCAAGCCTCTCAATATATCTTGAAATATTTTCAAAGGCGAGATCCAGAGAAGCTATTGCAGATATACCTCTCTTTAAGGCTTGATGGGCACTTTTCACTCTTTGAGATGTTGTGCATCCAAAATGCATTATCTTCTGAGTAAGATAATCTGCCCACTTCTCTTGGCATGTAATCCACCTGTCATGAAAATATGCCGAGACTGGCGCTTTCACATTGCCGTTTTCTACTTCGGAACCAGCAGATACAGCGTTGAACTTATTCAGTGCCCAGTCAAACTCCTTCTTACTTTTGCTATGGATCATATTGGATATATATCCCGTCAGCTCTTCCTTTTTTGTACCAAGCCAACTTTTCCCAAAAAAGCCTTTTCCACACTATTCAGCATGTGCCAGTAACAAAGCAGCTTGCTGTTGTTCGGAAACACAACATCAAGAGCATTCATAAGTGCAGCACACTTGTCTGTCACAAAAACTGTGCTAAGAGCCTTGTCTTCAAAAACAAGTGCCTTGAGTTGCTGGAGGAACCAAAGATATGTGCCTTGCTGCTCGTTAGAGACCCAGGCAAAGGCAATGGGAAACGATTTGAGGGTTTCTCCTCCGAGGTTGTGGATACCTTCCACGCAAATCAGCGGCATTGACAAGTTATTGGTAGAATATGTAGCATCTACCACCATAACTTCTGAGAAGCGACGAGCTCTCTCCATCATCTTCTGATTGGTAAAAAATACCCTCTCCAGCGAATTGTCCCCGTTTACATCATAATGCACCTGGTAACCTTTTGTTTCCATCATCTTAACAAGTCCAGTACCTGCATTCTGGGCAACAGGGGCAGAAACTCGAGCAAAGGCAGCCTTGATATTGTTGATATCGCTAACGTACAGCTTATGACCATCGTCTTTTTCGTCTGTGATAACCCTTTGGATCTCACGAGTCTTGGCCTTTGTCTCAACAAGTTTAGATATCTGCTTAGCGTCTTTGGCAGTAACTCTTGACAATCTGCCTTTCAGAGTCAATTCCAATCATTTGTCATCAAGAGGATGATTGTGATAACTCTCTATTTCACTAGAAGCTTTCAAGGGAAGATATCCTTTGATTCCTTTCTTGTAAGATAGCTTTATCATGTAAGGACATCTGGTTTTCGAACTAGGGTGGATTTTTACGCAATCGCAGTCTTCAAGTTTATGGGTGTTTCTATAGTGACCACCCCTGGTACACTTTAAGTAAACCCAGGTTGGTTTACAGTCTTTAGTTGCAAGAGTGAAGTTGTTAGCAAGTGCATACTTCTGCATTTTAGAAATAGTCACAGTCATGTTGGCATAGTCATCAACTGGTGTAGTGGGAAAGTCTTGTTGAACGGGATAATATTCATTTCCGTCAATAAAAATTGATTCTTTATTGATAGTATTCATGTTGAAGTGATTTCTATTGAGCGATTGTTAACATCGTTTTTACAAATACTAATTTGTAATGATAGAAGTAGCACTCTTGTTTCTTCTGAGAAAAACACTATATTATGTAAAAGATGTCTAATTCTTACAAGATGAGTATATAAAAGAAAAGAAGGTTTTATAACAGGTCTTTCACTAATTTGTTCAGGACACAACTTTTTTTTACTTTCAGATACTCTGTTACCATTGAAAGCCGGACCATAGTCACTTTTCAGGAGTCTGATACACAATTAAAATCAGTGTTTAGAATATTTTTAGTACTCTATAGAAACG